TCGTGGGTGACCTCGCCGCCAGCCGGGGTTCCGGGACATGCCTTCTGGACCTCGATGTTGGTCGCTTGCGCGCCGTTGCCATCCTTGAGGAAGGCTGAAGCCTTGGGGCCGGCTTGAGGCTGGACGACTTCATCGGTGGCGCTGAAGATGGATGTGGTGGGGACTGTCGAAGAAGTGTTAATACATGGTACGATAATGTTGAAGTGAAAGATGAGACTTACCATAAGCACTGTCTCCGCCGCCAGCGCGAAGAGTTGCGACGAACTTGGAGTCGTACTTCTGTTGATACACAGAAGGTGTGCATCCGATAAGTGCCGCAGCAGTGTCGCAAGCCAAGAATGCCTCGGTGGTGCCATGGAAATCAGGAGAGAACGAGACAAAGTCGGTCACCGTCTCCCGCGTGCTGGGCCAGTACTTCATGGCCCACTGCACATTCAAGTTTCCTTGACTCCAAGCAGCAACGGCGGCCTTCTTGCCCGTCATACTCTGGACGTAGTTCATGGCGTAGGCGACATATTCGGAGTTCTCCTGGGCATCACCCAGGGACGCTTCGGGGATGTTGACCCAGAGGGGGTCCGCAAAGTCGGACTTGGCCAGAAGAGGACCCAAGTTAGCGCGGAACGTCGACCCAGCCATCGCCGCGGTGCCGGGGACGAGAATAATGGGTTGCTTTCCCGAGGTCATGGAGAAGGTCTTGGGAAAGTAGATCTTGCTTCGAAGCTCTTCCTCGGACATCGAGTACGGTGCATCTTTCTCGGATCTCTTGGGGTAGATCGTGTCCTTAGGTGCGGGGTTGGTGTTTCTCATCGAGTTGACCTCGTCGCCGAGGAATGCGTTCATGCCTTGGACCTGCTTGTCTGCTGCGACGACGTTGGCTGATTGGTTGTTCTCGACGATATCACGAACAGTCGCTTCGGCTGCTGGGTCAGATACGGGCAGTCCGAGGACGTTCGTGGAGGCAAGGGTCAAGCCTACGGCAATGGCTCTAGTGGTCTTCATGTTTGTAGTAGATGTGTTGGCTGCTTGGTTCTTGGAGTTGCTGTTGAAGTTTGGGAGTCAAGAGTCACTGTCGAGGGAGTCTCGAAGTCCAGTCGAAAGATGTTTTTTGGTTGTTGGTGATGCTGATGGAGTCTGAATAGTCCAAACCTGTCGTCGATGGATGTTTCTGAAGCTTTATATCAAAAATCCAAGACGTGCCCGTTCACGTCGTCAGTGCGGACGTCATAAACCGACCCTTGTCAACGGCGCCTGTTTTCTCTAAGGTTAAATTCCTATCGGTTCCAACGGTCGATGGATGAGCCGCGGCGTGGTCATGGTTCGATCTGTTCAGCCAGTAACGTTGTAAAAGACAGGCATGACGGACCCAAGATGGTGGTAATATTTCGCTGCCGCTTCCCGAACCATCCACACCAGGCCGGCGGGAGCCTGACGTCGCCTGCCCGACGGACATATAGCGATGACATGCGGCCGTGTCTGGACCAAGGCCCCGTCCGATAATATCAAGGCCGTTCGATCACGACAGAGTCCGCTTTCCCCGGCAGACCCCGAGTATTCTGCCTGTCGGCAGTCGAATCGGGTGGCAGCACGCGCTATACGAAGGGCACCTCCCGAGGACAGAATAGGGAAATAGCTGGCGTTGTTCAGATGATGTTCCCGAGTCGAAAGCTAATGTCCCGGGGCATTTCCTTCATTTGTTCCCATGTGACATCATGAACGTTCCCTCGATGACAGCCGGGGTTCTCGTAATTTTGACCAAAATGGGCGTGGATCGCTATGCACTGATGTTGTACCGAGGCAAGCCTTCGTCTGAACTCATGGGATGTGGTTGACACTGCGTAAGCCACAGTCCAGGACGCAAGCTCAACTACATTTGGTATAAGGTGAGCTTCGAGTACGACTTTGGGAGGCATGTCACACCGAAGGACGGTTCCCACTTTAAGTCTGAGTTCTTGGGTAAGGGCTCTTGCTGAGAGACTGGAAAACACTGCTCGGACACGTCTAGTTAAGAAAGCCAGCGCATGTGAATGAAGTCGAATACATTTGAGCGTAGTTCTACAGCTCAGATTACATGTAGCTTGGAAGCCATTTTATGCGCTCTACATACGCAGTCTCATATTTTTCCCTCAGCTGAACATATCGTGACAACCATTAGATGGTATAGATCAATGATCGCAGCATCACACCGATGTACTTTGCATCGGCGTCATAAGATTCCATCGCCGCGGTCTAAACTACCCTACACCACCCTCTTCACAAACACCACGACCTTGTTTGTTGAAAATAGGTTGATTCTGATGAACCGGTGGGAGACTTACAATGACGGAAACCATGAGAAAAAAGACAGCGTTCCAAGGTTGCCGAGGCGCCCGGCGCAAGTCATGAAGTTCCAGAACGCTCGGCTGCCCTGCAGTGCAGTATTTCGTCCCATCTTTGAGGTCATAGTGCGAACTTGCCGAGACTCTCGTGTCCGTATCCCACCGAATCGGAAACAGAATCTCCAACTTTCCCCGCGATCGGTCGGGGCTCCGGAATGTCCGTTTCGAGTTGTCGTTCCTCGGCTAGGCGGTTGTATGCAACGTTCATCGGCAGTCCAGACCACCAATCTGCTTCCATATGTGCCGCCGGGATGTAGATCAGCCTCATTTCGGGCTCCAGACGCCCTCGGCTTGATCAACCACCATGCCATCGGTGGCGAACTTGCCATCGGTATGAGAAAGTCGAGCCTAGTGGTTGAGATTATGTGACTGCTGTACGTCAAAAGCTGGCCAGAGGTGTCGGATGATACTGATCAGCCCGTTGTGGATGGGGTCGCGAAAATCATCTCAAGAAAGCGGTTGTGACAGTCGACTGACCTCGCCAAAGCTGACTTGGGAGTCGATAGTACACGAGACTCATGAACCCCTTCAAGAAAGTAGTTGCCACTCGATTACCTTCTCAACCAAGAATTCTCGAGCATTTGGACTCGCAAGCCCATCCCAATACTACAGACTACCTATGCACAGCGATACGTAACTGCTATTTGCGAAGAGTCGACCACGACCAAACAGTTTCATAGAACTGTATTATTGGGACATTCCCACAAATTCAAACTGTGTAGGCAACGAACAGGATGTTTCATTGGAGAGCATTGTTGGCCATACAGTACGGGTACGGCTTTTGCCTTGTTGTCGATGTATCGTACTTGGGCTGTAAAGCTCTTCCCAACCTGACGAAGATTGCCATCACTACCGCTAACTCAGAATGACCTCAAGAAGCTATTCATTATTCGGCTTGCTTCAGACGATCGAAAGATCTGCTTGAATCAATAAATGGAAAAGAACGAAGTGAGTGTGGGTGAACGGCCGGTACATACAAAGGAAGGAAGATCAACAAATAATGCCCCTGACGCCATCTTCCTGAAGACCGATGTACCTCCCTGGCAGGAAGCCCACCCCTAGACGACTAAAGCACCTCCGACCCTGTTCAATGCCACTGCCAGTTCCAATGACGACTAAGACATAATGTATCTTTTCCTGCGATGACTTGTTTCCTTTCTCCTTCGCGATAACAACACACAACGGACTCTGCCTGTCAGATGTTCCTTTCCGGGGGGAATTGTCGTAGGTAAATTTGATCTTCCCTAGCTTATGCTCTGGAGCCCCGGCCACGCTGAATGGTCGCACCATGACTTTCAGATGTGTCGCTCGGTGAGAACCATCGCTACCACCGCCTGTGACTGACCACGGCGGCTCGACATCCGTTCGTTCCCATTCTGTCTCCTGGAAAGGTGGGTCTAGATAGTCAATACCACCCTCATAAGCCATCCACGACCAGGTGGGAGCAGCTGAGTCGGGCCTCGACGAAAAGTCAATCGCCTTCAAGGCGTCTTCTTCCTCACTTCTCTGCCAAAGAAGGCTTCGATGAAAGAGACCTTTCCCTGGGCCATCATCAAAGATCCCATAGCCACCCTCGATGGTGTACGCCTTTAGAAGACGGTTTTCCAACCCGGCGATAGCAATTGGGCGGTCTTGAATATGACTGAATTCAAGCTGCGAATAGCGGCGGTATAGATCTTGGAAATAGCGAATTCTGACCGCCCGTGACTTTTCTTTCATTGCCTTATCAGGGAATCTGGGATCACCCAAAAAGTCTGCCATGTCACTGCCAAGCCGTCTCGTTAGCCAGCAGATCTGTTTTCATGCTGTGAACCTAGATAGAGAACTTTTACACTTACTTTTGCATCTTTGCAAGAGTCTCGCACCTAACTCCCTGTCCACACTCAAAATACGTCTGGGAGTCTGTGAAGAATATGGTTCGTCGTGCCAAGGCACGCTCCTGCAAAACCCATCCTCGGCTGTTCAAAGCCCCATCGAGTACATGGCGTCCGAAGTCGTCTATGGTTTCGCATACGTAAAAGGGTGGCTCTCTTTCTTGTTGAATGGTAATGAAACGTCGCTGTGGCCGCGGCTTGTGAAGAAATCCCTCACGCTGATTCGAGGCACGACTCGCTGCGATGACGCAATAAGCACAACTGAAAACATCTTCCATGCGTTTGGCTTCTGTGCTAAAGTCGCCGCCATCTCCCTGGATGATGCACAAGGAGTCGATCCAAAGGTATTGAATTCCAAGGCGACGGGTGACAGTTATCGCATCGGCAAATGTTTGCGGAACATCTGCTTGCGGAATGGCCTGCTTGAAAGCCTCCAGATTACTCAACTCCGTACGTAATGGGCGATGTTTCTGAGTGTCACCCCAGCGGTGCGACAAGGCAATATATCTGGCGTCTCCAGATATCCCGTTAGCTGTTTCCAGCAAACGCAGAATCGGCTCTTCCTCTGATCCCAGGTGCAAAAGTCGGGTGGGAAGCCTTGAATTGCCGACAAAGTTGCATCCTGAGTGATGGTTGTCGCAATCCTTGAGCCATTGTCGAGAGATTTGGCTAGATAACTCTGAGTCCGGTTTTGGGAGTTGAGGAAGTCCAATCTGAAACCCAGAGATCAATCTTAAGGTACCTAGACGATTCATGGAACATTAGTAAAGTCCACATCAAATTCACGAGCACACTGACCGGGACTTCTAAAGAGCGAAAGAGCCGCTTGAGACGCCGCCCCTCTGATGTGGATAGTTGAGCCGATCCTGTCGAAGTTGATAACAGCGCTCGACTTGACTTCCTCTGACGCGTTGGACCAAGCATGCCATAGAAGGCTACATAAATCACACAGCGTGGAGTTTTGCTGCAGCTTATCGCGTTGATAGGCGACATCAAAGCCAGCCTCCCAGATTTTGAGCCGGCTACAAGCTTCACATAGCTTGGCGCGTTTCGAAAGGGTCGGGGCTAGTGACTTCTGGCCTAACAGCGCCGCGAGATCTTCAGCGAAGTCATTGTCGACGGGAAATTTCCAATCCTCGAGAGGTGGTAGAGTATAGTTGTTCCTAGCTGTCCTTGTCGGTAAAGCCAACTGAGGGACGCCGAGACCGGCAGGTGGCTGTGCCGCAGATGGTGTCAGGGCAGCCGTCTGGGGATGTAATCGCGATCCCCGCGATGGAGGATGAGAAGCTGTTGAAAGTTCCGTGACTGATGACATCAGAAGATAGTCATGCGAGATTTCTACTTCATGGAGGATATTGCTCATTGCCTTCTCGAAGTCGATCGATGTGGCCCTGTATCGAATGGTGGAGTCATCGATGCTTGGGGCTGGCAAAGGATCGCCTCGAGACTTAGCACGACTCATTGTCGTCAGCCGACGATCTGGCAAGCGGAAAACCAACAATTTTTCTTCCACAAGCTTCAGAAGATCGTTGATTGCTGATTTACGCTGACACTCTGGGTGCTTGCTTCGAATGTGCGATATCCAATGGACAACTTGCGGGTGGAGGATAGGCTCTTGTGATTGGCGCCCTAGGCTCGTGTTGCTTAATATGTAGTACGAGACAGGTTTCTTTGGATCATGATTGGGGCCTTTAAGGTCATTGTAAAACCTCTGCAATTGTTTGTTGCCATAGAGAAGCCAAATGATCCATTCTGTGATGATGCATCCCATTGACCAAATGTCGTACAATCGTGACCTAGGCTGGTCTCCGAAAGCTGGCTCCGCCTCTGGTGCCTCATAGAGTATAGTGCCATAAGTGGTTGTCGTTAGACGCGATCGGTCTTGAGTACGAACGACATGCCGCTTTGCCAATCCCATGTCGGCGATCTTGAGATAACGAGCTCCTTCGACACCTCGAGAGCGTTCGGTGAACCAAAGCAAGTTCTCCGGTTTTAAATCGCCGTGTCTAATGGATGCCTCTGCTGAATTAGAATTATATTCTTCAGCAACGTCTTCTGTGTGGACATGGGGCAAGTCATCGGGTGCGTCTTCGGAGTTGTCGTTAAGGCCTAAGTAATGAAGGCCACTGAGAGCGGCCCCGAGACCCTGGAGTTGAACAAGCGCTTCCTTCACCAGACTATGTGTTGGAGTCTGGTGTGGAGTGTTTTCCCAGTAGTCCCTGAGGCTGCCTCCATCAGCCCAAGGGAAGAGGAGGTAGCGATCGCGGCCTCTCTCGATTGCTGCAAGACATTCGATGAGATGGGGATTCGGAATCCCTTTGATTAATTTCAGAACGCCAACCTCGGCCTGCCATGCTGCTTCCACAGTTGAAGCCTGCGACAACCCTTCATCTGTCTGGATCTCTTTAACTGCAATCTGGACAGGTCAGTTCAAACACATCGCAATGTACCAGATAGGAACCATCTTACCTCGTCGAAAGAGTAATCAGTGTGCGACTGATGGATTTTGACTCGGTAGACTTTGCCGAATGCACCTTCCTTCGGCTTTTCACTGGAAACCTGAGTGAAAGGAAGTATCACTTTGGGCTGTACATTGTACGTGAAGATTCCAGAGCGAATAACAAGAGCTAGAAATTTCCACTGGGCCGGAGGAAAGTGCTCAATCATATCCGACCGCGTCCATGTATCGTCCAAGTCTCCCCCATCGTCCTCAGGGAATTTGCAGGACTCCGACCAAGGCAGTTCGCTGTCGTCAAAGCCAGAGGACCGGAACAGGGCCATGGAGTCGTGCAATTCTTCCTGGCCCCTGACGAATTGACTGTTAAGCACAATAAGAAAAAGCCTAGGTGCAGAGCTCAAGATCCATTCGATGAGGCCCTTGTACTGTTTATGGTGGGCCAAATCTTGAATACCCAACTCAGCAGCGACGGCTTCCCTCGTAACCAACGATTCGATACAATCCCGTGGCAGATAGCTGAACTTTCCACCTCCAGGAGGAAAGTCGCTATCCACATAGCTTTTGCGGATTTGCGCTTGCAGATTGTTCTTCTGTTTCCGTCGGTCGCGTTGTGGGCGAGAAACGCCCTGTGCAGGCTCCTCTCCGCCAGTGACGTTCCGCATCAATAGATCGCAATGTGGTTGCGTTGGAACTAAATTGACATGCAGAAAATCGTCGAATAAACTATAAGAAGACATGATGGTTTGGGGGGAATAGATACTAATATTGTATACGGAAGCCGAGGTACAATATGCAGCATGGTGCAGAAATCAATCGACTGTCTCATCTAAGACACTTAGCAGCCGAAGTGAGGCGATCGAAACACCACCCCGAATGCTTCTCTTGCATATGCATTGTGATAGTGGCTTTTTAGAATAACAGCGTTTCGTTGGGGCTGAGATAATCAACCATAAACTGAGACAATCCTAGTCAAGCTGATAGACTGCATGTAGTGAAGAGATCTCGAGCTTTGAGATAGTAGATAATACGCCAAGGTAGCCTGCTCGATGCAGCTGGCTAGGAGGATGATAGATCCCGGAGCCGTGTTTGGCATGCATCGGATAAGCTACAATAATTGCTCGCACCAAAGCCTTCCCCTACTGCAGCCTGATCGAATGGCGTCTATGCAGTACTTTCTTGCATGTTCCATATTCCGCTTGGCTGTAAAGCTGCTAGTCCCCTTTGACTCAATTTTGAGAGCATCTTCGTGATATTGAACAGTTCAGTCATTTTCTGCAGTGCGAGAAGAGATGAAAGTGGGATGATTTGATGTTTATTGGGATATCCACGAGCGATTCTTCCTTCCAGCGCGACCCATGTGCAGGTCATTCGCCTCCCGAGCCCCGCGCGCGTAAGCAAGGCAATGAGGAATGTAACATGCCTAGCCCCGCTTACCAGCCTATTCCAACAGCCTGATTCTGACACCCGCTAGACGTGATGTCTTCGGAAGGGCCGACTAGCCTGATAGAGATAGAGCGGGAAAAGTCTTCCGAGCAGGAATTGGGACCACCCCACGAAAATCGACTTTGGAAGAGTAAAAGACAGTCTTGAATTGCGTCAACGAAGGCTCTTAGTGAGTTAAAGGTCTTCCGAAGCGGACGACTTTCGAGTTGATGATGCAGAAGTCCTTAGGTGCAGTCATTATCATCTTCTACACATTGCTATTTCTGTCTAAAAGCCATTGTCAACAAGAGTCGTCCGCAAGCAGGTTTACAAGTAAGCTTACATTTGAAAGTTCTCTAGGCGCGCGTATAGAGAATGTGTTGTGCATCATCTATTGAGGATGGCTCTGATCAGCTATTTGGGATAATGAAAGTTCCGTTCTCCTTACCTCAACCTCGTAGGCGCCGGCGAATTTCGTGTCGAGCATCGACACGAGCTTTTCGGGGTCCATGTTCCTCCCGGCAATTTCCTGTCTGGAGATGACACTCGGCATTGATGTGCTCAGTGGTTTACAAGGATTGCTGCGGGCTTTTACTGCCTGATGGCTCATATTGAACATGCGAAAAGCTTCTAACAATTTAGTTCGTCTTGCTGAAATGTTCGAGATATCCCAGAAGATTGGGGATTGATCCGAGTTTGCCTGTATCCCGCCGTTTGTCTTTGACATCTTCTTTTCTACGGTTGGATTGAGAATTTATATATTGTTCCATCAACGCGTGAGATGTTAGCATCGAGTCCAAAAATATCAACACGACGGAAGCGGAGCGGCAAGTGGAATAGTCAGCCCATGCTGTACGGCTGGGCTTTTTCCATTTCTGTAGTATTACCAAAACATTGAAGCCTCAGCTTGGCGCGCAATATGAGGTGGTCAGGGTTAAAAGAGAGACATCCTAACTGTGTTCGGGCTTGTCAGGCGGAATCCCTCCATCCAATAGCTAAGCTGGTACCTCCTATGCCTTGCTTAGCGCCTTGCCATTTCGGTGTGCGGAGGCAGCCAATATACACAATCCCTCCCCCTTTGTGCCGCGTGACAGACCTGTTAAAAGCTGCACTTTCAGCCCCAAGCCACCATTCTGGCTTCTGGTGTGGCATACCAAAAATTGCCTTCAAATTCCTGGCCCAAGCCTGGCCGATTGACTCGCCCTTTCAAACTGTAGGCTCGTATGCGGATAAATGAAAGCCATTCGTCAACATGAGGCCTGCTCGGCGATTTGTTGTTCGCCTACGCTGCATTCGGGTTCGTTAGCACTTACTCGTTGATCGTGCGTCTACTCCGCAACGCGTGTTGTGGGTTCAACATGCCCTTCCAGCTCATGTCTAGTGGCTCTACGGAAGCCTTGGAGACTTCCTCATCCGGAACGCCCGAACCAGAAGACCTGGGCTTTGACGATGGATCCAGAGGAGATAGGACTGCGCCATCAACGCCGCCTCAGCGATCCCCTCGGTGGAGTGCCACTCCGGAAACTGAGCAGCCTTCGCCGCAAGCTTGGCCTGAGGACCACCGGGTATCACCTTCGAACGACATCAAGCCGGAGATAGAAGAACCAGATACGACACTAATTGAGTCTGTGAGTAATGCTGCTGGTAGTTGTAGAGGTCGGACCCTAAGAGCGATGATGGCTGACAGGCGCGTTGTTTCAAGCACGACGAAGATGCCGAACAGAATCTGCCCGATGACAAGCCGGCCATTGGTGCAATAGATGCAATAAAGGCCAATAATTTCAACGATCCAAGCTCACAGCCAATCCCATCGCGACACCCAACCCCGAGTGTGGTCTCCGATGCAGGAGACCAGCAATGGAAGGAATTGGAGGCAAGGAAGCAGCAAGAGAGTTATAGAGGAAATCACGATGGACCCCAAAAGTCCGGATCTACAAACCTCCAGGTTCCTCACTCTGGGCTCCCCTCTCGTCGTTCAAAGTTCAAGCTCCAAAAAAGTATCCGGGGTGCTTGTCAAGAAATCAAGAATCCCATGAGTACGGCCGCCGATGATCGATTTCTCCCGAAGAAACAACTGTACAGCATTATCAACGTGGAATCTGTTACTTCCGAGCTGGTCGAGCGAACGAAGGGCGGAAGTCAAATTATGGGTAAAGTTGCTAAAGTTGCTCAAGCTGTTTGTGCGGAGGAAATCGTTGAGCTTCCAGGGGACAAGAAGAAGAGGCGATCTTATCGTCAGATTTTCGCTATTCTTGTCCTTCTGGACCACTCGGAGAGCATACGTCTGTTCATGAGAGACTGCGTTAGCGACCTTGATCTTCCTCTCGTGGCCCGCGAGGACCCCGAATTCAAGGGGGAGAACTCCTTGTATAGAACAGATGCTGCCGGAGAGCCCCAAGGCCAGCCTTTGGCCTGCGCTGAAGATTGGAGCGACGAGATCCGAAGGCAGTTTTGCGTGCATCAATGGATGATGCTGGCGCCGTTCTTCTACCGCAGTGTTTACAACAACGTCAGTCACTATACTCTCAAGGATCATCACCGCCTCCCATTTGTCGAAGGCGAGCATTATCACCGAATAGATCCGTGCGCGAACGTTGTTCAAGAGCCTACACAGCAAGAAAAGATCACCAGCGGCTTCTCCCAAGTTTACATGGTACGAATTCATTCAGAACATCACGAGTTCCATGGGTTCGACCTTGATCCTGAGCGTGGGTTTGCCGTCAAACAGTTACGAGACGAAGATTCCGATACCGTGGAAAAGTTCAAGAAAGAGGTTAACATGCTGAAAAAGTTCACAGGGGACGGAGCTCATCCCCATGTCGTGTCAGTCCTCGCGACGTACGAACAGTTTGGCAAATTTCATCTCATTTTCCATCGAGCTGATGGAGATTTGTTCCGCTATTGGAAATCAATTCGCCCAAACCCAACCTTTGGCTATCAAAACGTTGTCTGGGTTGCAAAGCAACTTGCTGGCCTGGCCAATGGCCTACTTCGTTTCCATAGGCATCTGACTACACCGAAGACGTCTGCCGAAGATTCCAGAGAGAATGCGAAAGTTCGCCATGAAAATCCGATCAATTTCCGAACGCCCTCATCTTCCAAAAGGAAACGAGCTCATTTCCAGGACAATTACTCCACCCAGCCAAGCGGAAAGCGGACACATCTGATCAGAGAAAACTCGGAGCCACGCTATGGCCGCCACGGAGACCTCAAACCAGAGAATATTCTTTGGTTTCCAGACAAAGACGATCGTAGAGGCATCCTCAAAATCACAGACTTTGGACAGGCTGAACTCCATTCGAAAGACAGCAAGACATATCGCCGAAGCAATGGCGTTGACACCTTAACCTATCGGCCACCAGAGGGCGAGATAGTCCCTCGAACAGTCCGCCAATCTAGCGACATATGGTCTCTAGGTTGTATATACCTTGAGTTCGTGACGTGGATACTTGGTGGAGCCGACGATCTGCACAAGTTCAAAAACTCGCGATTATCATACGATTCGCGGCTTCGCATGAACTCAGACACCTTCTTCGAATGCGTGCAGTTGGAAGAGCATGAAGGCGCTCAGTTGAAGCCTGCAGTATCCAGGGTAATTGTTTCCTTTCGTTGTTTTATAGCACGTGCACACAGGCTCTGCCGCAATTCGGTCATTTCTTTGCTAATCATGACTTTATGCAGCACATTGACAGTCTTGCATCGCGTCGAAACTGCTCGCAGTATTTCAAAGATGTTCTCGACCTCATTCGCGACATGTTGGTGGTTGAATCCAGCGACGAATACCTTATACGGCGTAAGAGTTGTGGAGAGGTGTATATGTCTCTCAAGGAAGCATACGAGAAATGTTTGAGTTCTGGAGAGTACGCTACTGGTTTAATTTCGGAGTCTACATGACAGCCGAAACTTGCTTGCATGTGTGTAAGAAACGGATATTCATAAAGTGGTACGCCTGTTTTGTGGCAACGCTCGAAAATAGTCATGTCAGGCCGCAGGCGACGTGACCCGGACATATTGATGCTTGAAATGACATAAAAACGGTCCTCATTAAAGTTTCCCGTGTCCTTTGTTTTGAGATACTCCATACTTGATCTGCAAGCCCCACGCGGAACCGCCCATCGGTTGTTTTCCCTTCGCGGAGCCACCCGTCGGTAAATTTACCCTTCTCAGCGGTGAGTGGGCCGTGATTCCAAGAATCTGGCCGGTTTAATGCCAAGTGATTTCTCTCATGCTCTGATGAGGTTAGTGTTCAGGCTTCTCGTTCGTTTGCAACATGCAGCCTGTTACAAACGCTAGTTCGGTGACGTCAATAAGATCGCAGAAGCATAACAAATTATTGAAGAACCCGACTATGCTGCACGCGAAAAAGGCCGCCTGTCACCACCAGCGAGAGCTCTGTCTCGATGGTGTCCGCGAACTGGAAGGACAGGTCAGAGTTGAAGAAGGCACGCGTGGTACAGCGTTCGGTCATCTGATGAACATATCCTGAAGGATGGTTTCCCCGGTCAGGAAGAATTTCAGCCGGCTCCTATCTACACAGCCGCTGACTGAACTTTAAAAAACATCCAGGCTAGCCCGTACATGGGTCTCTTTGAACCCGTAGTGGTGGGTGGAAGTATTCCAGCACTTGGGATGCATCCGCATGAAAAGCGGTCTCTTTGACCATGCGGTGTTTATCTTCAAAATCAGACTTCGTCCCAGGTTGAGATGAACATGGGCTACAGGATTTGTAGTACTAGGACACATTAGTCCGCTAGATGATGAGATTATAGAGAAGGAGAACATGACACACCTGTTATTTTTCTACTGATCAGCCTTCCCAGATACCTAAGATCAGGCCATAGGTATAGGCCATGATATGAGATACCTGGACCGTAGATAAATCTAAGATCACTATCAGCACCCGTGAAGATGAACCCTTCGACTTTCTGCATCACTCAACTTATGTCTTTTGATGACTTTGACTTTCGGCGATTCCGACTAGGGGAGTCTTATCTCAATGTTAATTTTGCATCTTAAGGGAGTGAGGTCACTTAAAGTACGAGGGAACTCCAGCCTGATTGTCTTTTTTAACTGCCGAGCCCAAAAAGACACAGAGGCCAACTCAGAATCAGAGACAAGTACCACCTCACTTTTCAATCAAACGTAGCTGAACCATAGAACCCTAAGAAAAGCTTTGCATGGTTCTAAGATGTATCTGGAGGAGTTAATAAACTAACTAATTAGATAACTGTAAAGCGTTTAATGCACATTGCTGGTCGGTTCAGACTGCCGAGCGGATAGTATAATAATCTATTATGCTTCGCCAACCTCCACTTCACGGCGATTTATGAGTCAGGCTGTGTTAGCTTGTCTGCTCACTTGTATAAATGTTCACGTTCATCCTACCCTTATCAATGCTGTTTCCGATCCAACACTGAAAACCCATCAATCTTCCCTATACCACCAGTTACTCTCACTTTCCGGTCTCTTCGTCACAATGAAGCTTTTCTCTATCATCGTCGCAGCCATCACGCTGGCCACCAGCGTCGCCGCCAAGGTATGTCAACTCGAGCCAATATTTGGGCTTCATTCTATTCTCGTTGCCACCAAAAGTCCATGTTTGGGTCTCTAGAGGCCGTTGGGGGCTTACATAGCGATCGTAGGACTGCTGCTGCACCATCGTCAACACGGGCGAATGCAACTGCATTGGCCCTTACGCCGAGACCACCAACTGCGCTCAGATCTGCTCTATCCGTGGCAGTACCACTTGCACCAAATAACACTGTTGCTGCCAACCTGTCAGAAACAACGCCTGAGACGAAGCGTGAAGCGTGGGCTGATAATGCGCTCATAGGACTGCTGTTGCACTCTCAACCCCTCAGGCAGATGCCAATGCATTGGGCCTTACGAAGAAACCACCAACTGCGCTCAGATCTGCCAGATCCGTGGCATCACGCCATGCTAGACGATGATGTAGCCACCGAATCGTAAGAATGAACAGCAGCACTACGGGATGGAGTGAAGGATCGTCTACTGCGCTCATGAAATTCTGTGGAACGTACCGTTAGCATCACAAAGCAAATCCCGAAATGCGAACACAAGACGTCATGGACAAAACTCACCTCCCGTGTGATTTTCTACTGTATATTCCTTGCTTGAAACGGGTGATTTTGCACGTAATTGAAGTGGCTCGGCTCCTTAGCTTGAAGCTCCTCGAACTTCAAGCTCAGCCACCGGTCGGGCTACTGAAGAAGACTTTCTTCCTCGCGAACCACTCGGTAAGTTAAGGACTGAACGCCAGTGATTCTTTTCGTATGTTGGCGCCAATGCGGTCATACAGCCTGTTGTCCCTCATCCAGATATTAAGCTCCTGGGCAGTTACACCCAACTTAACGACAAGGTCACAATAGACGTTAAAGAGGTTAACAGGGTCCAAGAGATCACCAGTCTCACCGCAATTAAACCTGTAGTCTTCCTTAGCTTATAGGTGTTTAGGTGAGTAGCTATTAGTCATAGCAGCAACGAGGATTTCAGCTATTGCCCTATGATCTTATTTTCATTAGCTCAAGCAGAATCTCGTCTAGAAGCTGAAGTATTCGACTACATCTAAAGTTACGGTCGAAACTGATCTCTCAAGGGATTTGTCGACCGGGTCCATTATCTGATTGTGCCTTATTCTTGAGCAATCATCTGAATGCTGTGGAATGACGGGGAGGTATGTGAGGGGTCACAGGGTAAAAACGGGCCAAGCCTCCACTTGGACGAACAGTTCTGGGGAAGGGCTTGCGTCAACGTCGTGGCGAGTGGTCAGGGCAGCGCCATTTCAAAATTAGTTTGCTCATGCTCAGAAATGTGTTTGACACCAACACTGGTCGCGTCTCCCCATCTGCCAACCTAGCCAGTGCCGACGCACATGCTCGAAGTACTTACACCTTCATGTTGTTGATGCTCCTCACTATTCTACCCAGGCACACAAAGACGAAGAATTTGTGTGATGTAAGAAGAGATGTCTCGTTCAGGGGCTAGGTTAAACACGTAAAGGAGGGACCTTTCCGTTGGGGTCAAAAGTTGGGAAGAATAATCGATTCTGCCTTAAGCTTAGAAGAGTTTATCACATATCAACGTACAGTCAAGAGTTTAGAGGACTTAAGCAACCCGTATGTAACATCGTTATTCCTACAGTCACTTCCGAAGCTATATTCTCAACACAAGTTTCCCAACTTGCTTGCCTTCCCAGATGTACTGAAGCGCTTCCTCAGCCTGCTCAAAGTCATACACAGTGTCGATGATGTCGTTGAACTTGAGACCTGTCGCTGATATAGCAGCAGCCATGTTCTCCATGTCAAGTCTCGATCCCGCATTGATGCCTCTATCAAATATGTCAGCACAAATCCGCAGTGTGATCTAGCTATGTAAAGTCCTCTGTTTCTTGGGACACTCACCTGACGATCGTCCTTCGATCAATGATGGTTGAAACAAAGTCCTTCAATTGAGAAGGATCTTGCCCTCCTAGATATCCAACCTGGCTTACAATGCCGCCACGACGAGTGCACAGAACGCTCTTCACGAGCGAGGTAGAGCCACCGTTGTCGACTGTCAGGTCAACTCCGACACCGTCCGTGAGCTTCAGGACTTCCTCTTCCCAGTTCGGATGCGTTTTGTAATTAATGCCATAAATGGGTGCAGATGGGAAAGACTCCTGGATCTTCTTGATCTTGTCGTCGCTGGACGAGCTTAAGATGACTTTTAGGCCAGCGGCTTGGGCAAGTTTAAGAGCAAACATGGCGACCCCACCAGTTCCTATCGTGGGTGAGCTCAAGATCCTCAAGAAACCACCTCAACCTACCTTGGATAAAGACGCTTTGCCCAATTGTAAGCCCCTTGATCGCAGACCATGCGGTCGCCCCTGCACAAGGCAAAATCGCACAATTCACCCAGTCCAGATGCTCCGGGACCTTAGCAATAAGATGCTCCTCAAACACCAGGTAATCCGCCAGCACACCGTCCTCATTAGCAGCAAGCCACGACCGTCCCGTCTCGCGGCCCGTGACGAACTCGGTGTCGGTAACGGGGCTCACGCGGTCGCCGACGCGGAGGTTCTTGACCTTGTCGCCCGCCGCGATGATCTCCCCCGCAGCATCGTTGCCGAGGATGCCGTGCGGAATGACAGGCCATGGGTTGCCGCCGTTGGCGATGTTGGCGTCGCGATAGTTCAAGGCGACGGCATGGACCTTGATAAGGACTTGTGTTGGGGCGAGCGGGAGGGGGAGGGCTTCTGTGACTAGGGTTACTTTGGGGGTGCCTGGAGTGTAGTCGTCGGTGCGACGCCATGCACGACGGTGAGTTGGGAGGTTTTCGGCCATGGTTGAGATGGGTTGCGGTGGGTTGTGGGAATCTTTGGTGCTAACAGGGATCGGGAGATTGACCCGATGTGAAGACGAAGTCGGGTACCTAGATGGCGGATGTTGAAACGGAAAACGATCATGAGGCGAGGTAGGTATCATGAAGGGAAATGGTTTCCTGACTTTTATACATTTCGGACGTATAGAGAAGGTAGACGCGCCCTTCACGGACTTGACAGACTTACATGAAGTGCGACAACAGGGATCGGGAGTGGGTGACGTCGGCCTTGTCCGCTCAGTAGTGAGATGCGGGGTACCTCCCGAAGGACCGGCGCCGGTCGGGATTCCGGGTTAGGTATCGTTTCCTGATCGGGCAATGCTCCTTGGTACCATGAAAAGTTACTGGACATCGCCATGCATCTTCGTCTTTGTGAATGACGTTGGAGTCATGATTATTGATAAGGAATGTAACCAAGAGTCGTCCCTAGTACTCATCCCATGACATGATGAGGAGGATGAAGGGCGTGGATCGACAAGAATTGTCATCAAAGGCTTGGCAGATGGGAAAGCGCCCAAGGCGATGACTGGCTCCTTTGATCAACATACATGTCTGCCTCCAGAAAATGGCTGGTGTTTTCATTCAGGGATTTACCTACGGCTTAGAAATATCATTGCTGATGAATCAATAACCCGGGGTCCGGTCTGCGGCGGCCTTTGGAGCACAGCGGAAAGACCCAGTACCTAAAATGCTCCTTTACTGCATACATTGGAGCCTTTCTGACTGGAAAAAGAGTTCTGCTTCTTTCTGGCTCTCATTGAATTTGCCAAAATCGACCGAGTCTTGATGCGACCTCGAGTCCAGACGCTTATCTCTATGCAAGACACCTGCTCAGGTGGACCGATCAATGTCTACAACTCCTGGCTCGTAGTTGCCTGTTGGGGAAATAAAAATGAGAGCACGCCACCCGCCAGTTACCACGACCGATGATCTGGGCTCATGCAAGCCAACATATTCTCATGAGGACCGAGACAGGCCTGAAGTTGGGATGTAACGATGTGTTGATAAGGGCCTAAAGATTTATGAGTCACCAATTATATAATGTTCAGGGCATCAAGTACTAGGCGGTCAACTCCTAAATATTGAAAAGCTCGACCATTGACAATACATTGGTTTACAGTTTTGAAGCCCATCTCACTCTCCATTCACCATGTCCGATCTCAAAATCTCAAAGATTGACGTCTTTCAAGTCACACTCCCTTACTCAGAAGGTGTTTATCACCTATCACGCGGTCGCGAATACCCGAGCTTCGACGCAACCATCGTCCGTGTGACCACAAACACCGATCTCGAAGGCTGGGGTGAGAGCACACCCTTCGGTTCAACCTACGTCGCTGCCCACGCCCTCGGCGTCAGAGCCGGCATCGCGGAGATCGCGCCCAAGCTCATCGGCATGGATCCGCGCCAGGTCGACCGCATCAACGATGCCATGGATGAGGCGCTCGTGGGCCACTTACACGCCAAAACACCGATTGATGTGGCTTGCTGGGATATCTTTGGCAAGTCAGTCGGTCTACCTGTGTGCGAGCTCCTGGGAGGTAGTACGGACATTGGGTTGCCCCTAATATCGTCCATTGGCGTCTTAGACCCGGAAGAGATGCGGACAAAGGTTGATGAGTTTAGGAAGAAGGGTTATCTGGGGCATTCCGTCAAGATATCGGGAGACGACCCGGCCACCGATGCCGCGCGGATTGCCGCTTCGCTTGCGGATAGACAAGCTGGCGAGTTCTTTCTCGTTGACGCGAATGGCGGGTTGACTGTTGAAGTTTCCCTCCGGATGATTAGGCTGCTACCTGATGGTCTAGACTTTGTTCTGGAAGCGCCGTGCGCCACGATGCGCGAGTCTCTCGCCCTCAGGCGGCGGACTAACATACCCATCATCATCGATGAGTTGGGGACCGATGAGGCATCAGTCATTCAACTAATCGCAGATGACGCTGCGGAGGGCATTAACTTCAAGGTGTCCAAGAATGGAGGGCTCACCCGAGGTCGCCGCCAGCGGGACATCTGCGTCGCTGCTGGTTACACCATGAGCATACAGGACACAACCGGCTCAGACATTTCCTTTGCTGCCATCGTGCATCTGGCGCAAACCGTGCCGCAACGCAACTTGCGATGTATCTTGGGATCGACGGAGATGGTGACTGTGAAGACGGCAGATGGAGACTTCGAGGCCCGCGACGGCTTTTTAAGAGCTCCGACGGCACCCGGTCTTGGGATCACGCCTAGACTGGAGGTTCTGGGACAACCTGTTGCTAGCTATGCCTGATTCATTGTCCGGTGTTTGTGGCCGGTAGTCTAAAGAAAGGATGAAAAGCATATTGAAAGCCGGCAGTATCTTATTAGAACTAAATACAGAAGCAAAGGATAAGATGTGTCTCATAGAAAACCTGCTTCTTTTCGCCCCTGGCAAAACCTTGGATGAATGAAGCAACCGGCAACGGAGATCAACCCAGAGCGTCTGTGCCAACCTCAGCAGTTTACAGCAGACTAGCTTTGCCCATTCTGTCTCTCATCCACTCTTGCATCCAGTTAGGCCACGCCCGCAATGTAGTAAAAAACCAAACCTTCTCCGGCAAGACAATCTGAGCACCCCGACAAGCAAACACCTGCGCCAGAGTGCGATCCGCAACTTCCTTGGGCGACAGCATCTTCCCCTGCTTCTCCTCAATCTCATCTGCGTTCTTGGGAGACATATTCGTCCTCACCCAGCTGGGCTGGACGATGGTTGTGAGAATGCCGTCGGCTTTGTACTTTGTCTTGAGCTCGCAGTTGAGGCCCTCGTGGAAGGTCACGGACGCAGCCTTTGAGGCGCAGTAGTCGACCAGCGAGGAGAGGGTTATGTGCGCTGTGATACTCGAGATGTTGACGATGTGCCCCTTGTTCTTCTTGATCATGCTGGGAAGGAACTCTTTGGTGACGATCCAGAGGGCGATGGCGTTGACGCCGAAGAGCTTGGGAAGGAAGTCGGCTGGGGTGTCGAGGATGGTGTGCAGGGATGCGATGCCGGCGTTGTTGATCAAGATCGAGGGAGCCCCGAAAGATGTTCGGATAGTCTTGGCTGCTTGGGCAACGGCCTCGGCAGAGGTGATGTCTGTTTTGATGTACAAGATTGCGGGGTCGCTCTCCATGTCTGGGGGAATAGGCGCGAGGTCGAGGATCGCGACTTTCACCCCCTTTTTGACGAGGCCAAGGACAAGTTCTCTGCCGATGCCACCGCAACCGCCTGTCACAACGGCGACTTCCTTGTTCCATACCCAGTCTTTGTGTGCTCTCACACGCCAGTTTTTCAACGCTACTTTGTTAGAGAGGTTGTTGATAGTTTTGACAACACCGAGGCCTACAGCCAGGCCCAACAACGCCTTGGCCCCATCACGTCCGTGGATGAGGGCACCGAACCGACTTTCGACAATTCTGTCGGTGAACTGAGTGGATCCGTATACGACAGCTGCTAGAGCCGCCGTCAAGGGAAGGAGAATTGACATCTTCAAGGTGGTGAGTATGTAGAGCGACTCGCAAGTTACGCATGGGGTCCTTATTGTGAAACTACGAGCAACAGCAAGAAATCCATCATTGTAGAACGTACATTTATATCGCACGATTTTCTCTGAAAGCTTCAGAAACACAAGGGTTGCCCATTAGCTTTCGACCGACCGAAGGAGGTCCCCGATGATTGAGCCGCGCCAGTGCCCAGCAACCCAGATTACGAAGACAGACGCATCTGACTTTGCATCTCCGCCGAAGCGGCCGAAACAAGGGATCTATCAGGAGTTGCAGAGGCTGAAGCTGAGGGTTTGTTCTCAGAGGTGTTCACTAATCATTGAAGAAGTTGGTGGGGACCGTGCTGGAAGATGCTCCGGGAGCCGACGGCCTAATTCTCCTCCACCAGGGTCCAAGCAGCAACGGGTCAACATCTATCCTCAACATTGTTCTTTTAAAAGTCTAAACTTCAGCTGAAAATGGCTTAATCACAGGCTCTCCAGGTTGATCTCCTCCTTCCTCCGTCTCACTCTAATCTTCGCCCCTCTATTCGAGTTCAGACTGAAGCCGTGCACCTGCACCGAGGAATCGGACCCGGGCACCAGCTCAAGATCATACTTCAGAAGCAAGTGGCACATGGCAATCTTGACCTCGTTCGCGGCAAAGAAACGTCCCGGGCAGGCATGCTGTCCGTGGCCAAAGCCAAGAGAGTCTGGACTCGTTGTAACGAAGTGCGCCTGGTTTTCCTTTCCAGGTGTCTGGCGCATGCGCAGAAAACGGTAGCCATCAAACTCGAGAGGGTTCTCGTAGATGGTGGGGTCATTTCTAGAGGTATTGGCGACAGCGACCTTCATGCCTTTGGGGATGACAGTTCCGTCGGATAGGTGGACGTCGGCGTCGGCGATGCGGCCCATGGAATTTGGAATAAAATTGTCAGCTTGTAAGTATGCAGACTACGTGAGACTTTTCGACTCACTTGACTGGATTGGCTTCATTCGTTGGGTCTCCTTCATCACACTGTCCATGAGCTTGAGGTTGTAAAGCGACGTCTTCGCCCAGCCCTCCTTCCCTAGAACATCAATCATCTCAGACCGCAGCGCAGCCAACAACTCAGGTCTCGGAAGGATGTTTAGAATCAGCTGCGTCATGAGATCGGTCGTGGTATGTATCGCTGCTCCGGCCATGGCAAGCTTAAGATTTGGTCCACTTAGCACAGGCTGGCTGAGGAGCCTTGACAGGCAGGGTAAACACCCACCTGGTAGATCGCCGGGTCATACTTCGACCTCGCGGACTCCTCCTCGCCCCACTGGATCGCATCATCGTATGTTGGAATCGGACGTCCCTCTTGGGCCGCGACGCGCTTCTCGCGTGCTCGGGCATCGATTACGGGCTGGATGATGGAGCGGGTCTGGGCGACGTGACTTCTGACGCGCTGGCATTCTGGTAGGAACCAGTGGACGATGCGTCGGAGAGGCTTTGGAACGATGCGAAGTCTTTCGGCTGCGATGAAAGAGTCCACGACGTACATGACGGTGATGTTGAGCCAAGCCTCGTTGCGGCAGATTTCGGGGCCGAGGAAGACGCGGGACGAGAGGCGGGAGACTACGTTGAGAATGGAATGGCCCAAGCCGACCTCGTGCCATTCTTTGCACCCGCCGATGTTAGAAAGGAGTGGGGTTTACGGTTGGGTGGTGCATACCTGTCGAGTCTCCAAGGACTGTTTGGAAGGAAAACGCGGTCTCGTCGGAGAGTGGCTTTGTGATCTTCGCTATCACGCCAGATGAATTAGACCACGATATAAGTCAAATAATGTAATGGTTTGAATGAAGAGCCTACCCAGAAACTTGGTGAGCTGCTTCTTAGCGACCATGATGAGGATCTGGATCGCATTGCCCGCTCCAAATGGTTCGAAACCAGGGAGGTAAGCGTGAAAGTCCTACACCATTGACGTCAGCATCGGCTTGATATCTCAAAAATTTGTGCCTACATGCTCTGTATTCTTCAGAAAGCTCAGCTTCGGGTCGTTTCGAATCTCGTCGACATGCTTCGGAGTCAGCATAATCACGCGGCCGGTGTCGGACATGACGCTGTATGGCTCTCCCCCAAATGCCTTCGATCCTTCTTGGATGAGTTCATTGCTTCTCTGAACAAAATCCTTCTTGACAGCCGCTCCACTGAGGTCAAACGTTTGTGATCGGTCCAGATCTTGTAGGCTAGGGCCGCGGCCAACAACGCGGCGAGTATACTCCAAGCCTCAGAGGAGAGTCTGAAGCTATCCAAAGAGACTGGCAAGCTGCTATCAGCCAATGCGGAAGCTGAAGGTTTCGATGCCATCGCGAACGGCTGTAGGGTTGATGACTATGAGATTGCTGGTTCGGATGATGCTGTAAGTGACTGATGAAACCATCAGGTTGACGTTTTCTTTGGACTTATAACCATTTTGCTCGATGCATTGCTCATGAGAAGGCCTACGAAATTAGGACGAATACGAATACGCTTATCGCAAAGACTGACGTCCCCGAACGCTTGACCTTCACAACATGCATCGTGACACAGCGTCTGAGCTATCCGCTATCGAAAACTTCAACATCTCCATCTACAGCGACTCGACTCCACAAGCGCCAAGAAGTGCACTTTCCTATTTCGAACAGGGCGAGTACTCCGTGTCGGGCTTAGGTAATGGCCCGTTCGGACGAGAACTGGGTCCTCGGGCTCTTGGGCGGACACCGGCACCCGTTACGCTGGCATGACACGACATGTGCAGGGCAACACCACTGGTCAAAAAATGATCGACAGCAGGCTTGCGAAAGCGAAGCTTTGGGTGCAGGCGAGATTTACGGGGATTTAGGGTAAGAAGAAGGTCGGAATTTACGAGGTGGTCGGGAGAGAGGCCGGCAGTCGTAACCCCACTTCCCGCCCCCGGATCGGCTGATGAAGTTGCGTCGCTACTGCGACAATCTCGACTCTGTGGCATAATTGGCGTAATTTGCGGCGCTGTTTCCTCCTCCCGGACCCACGGCTTATGCCTTGCGCCAGAATTTGGATGCAGGTGATCTTTTTGGGAACTTACAATTTTCAGGTCGCAAGGGCTGCCGAAGCGATCGGACGCCGACCTCCGTTTCATCGGAGCGGGTGGATCGCAGATGACCCACTATTCCGGCAGACCGCCCGGCTTCCACGATTTAGAGGCGGAGCACACCAAGACAGGGCAACATTTGGTCCGGCTGTATTCTTTAAAGCTGTGAGTGCATATCAAACCATAGCGGAGGCTTTTCGATCGCAGAGGCTTGGCTGGATGCAAACCTTAATGTCGCGATTCACCAACCTTTCTGGCAATGCACCATCCAGGTCTCACAGAACAAGTACTATAATACCGTCCAGGCACTGTTTCTGTTTTGAATCTTTGAGCGTTCCTCCAAATCTTCCACCGGTTCGCTCCAAGCCGGAACGCCATGAAATCTGTTCCTGAGCACACTAGCAGGTGGTGTAACCCTATCACCATCCTGGCCCTTCTTTTGAGAAAGGAAAAGTCGAAGAACGGACAGGTGGAAGTCATTGATCCCCAAACCAAAGACGTATCACTGCCACAGACCTGGGGATCCGCCACATCGTGTCCAGTCGAGACGGCCGACACACCTCAGCCTGAAGGATCCGTCGCATCATGTCTCGACCAACAAGCCGTCTCTCCTACCTTAGCTGTCCCCGACCGGCGTGCCGAGGCGCCTCCTTGGGAAATAAACTTCGACCGTAATATCAACCACAGTAAAATTCTCTGTTTGCCTGAGGAGCTTCTGCTTGAAGTTATTTGCACCGTCGCTACGGACGACCTGTACATGTTACGCCAGGTGTCTTTCACCTTTTGGCGCATCTATCGAAGCAAGATATTCTCAGCATTTCACCGTGGGCATGAAAGAATCTGGTGTTTGAAATGGAATCGAACCGGCGGGTTTGAGAATGACAAGAAGACCGTTCTGCGCGCCAAGAAACACGCGTTTTGCGCTCGATGCTACGAAAGACGGACATCACCAAACTACTTGCGAGAAAGGAGGATATACGAATGGGGGAGTGGATTTCCATGCTCTTACTGTGGCTCGTCTCACACAGCGCTACTCTTTTCTCCACAAGAGCGAACGCCGCTGATTGAAGATCGCCGACGCCAGTGCATCATGCCGAGCGCTTTTGTGAGCCTTTGCTCACACCTCAAGGTCTCAGGCTCAACTATATGGAAAGAAGCAAAACGCTGGCCGGAAGGAAAAGTTTCGGGCCCGAAAGTACTCGTGCAGAGCTGCCACCAATGCATGGACCTGGCCGGACGAGCTGTTCTTGAAAAAGACCGAGACTATATCAAACCTCCGGCGTGGTACTTCACTCATAATGTTGGTACTTTGCAGATCTCATGGAAGCTGCCGCTATTCGAGATTCCAGAACACGAAACCATCACGATTCCTTTCCTACTCGAGCAACTTGAAGAGTTCAAACAGACATACGGCGACGTACTTTGCCCTCATATCAGGCACGATCACACGCGCCTCTTGAGAGCCCTCGACCCTCGATATTGCTCTTGCATGGGTGGAGACAGCAGGATAGGAAACGTGCTTCCATATGACAAGGAGCACTGGGGAACCCCCGACTGCATGGGACGGGTTGAGATAAAACATCTTACCGCGTGTGGAGACTGCCGTACTCGCTATACCTGGGAGAGATTGAACAACCAAGTATTCTTATCACGTCATTCAGTTCTCTATCTTTGGGAGAATCTGGCGGAAATGATCTCGTGGCGAAAGGAATTTGCGGCAATTTTTGACCCTGTCTCATATAACCCCATGTCGGATCACGAAACAAAGCATCTGTTCTGGTGCGAAAACCGTGACTGCAGAAACGGTAAGGACTGGATTGAATATTCTAACGTATTCCACTGAAAAGAATGGTAGCTTGAGGCGGAAGAAGAAGAATAAGTGAGTCTTCTAAGCTCAGTGATTGACCTTGACGATCATTCCCATAGAGCCCCAGCGAAACGATCCCCCCTCTCTGCGGGTGACTCGCGCCTTCTCGAGGCTCTTCCCCCTCCCACGTGCGGCATGAATTCTGAAAACGTCTCTTCTCTGGTGTCCTTATCTCTCTCCTCTGTATTCTGTCAGTATACAAGGGCGAGAAGAGAATGATGAGGGGCAAATGGAGGCATGACGTACTGGAACCTAAGTCTACGACGAAGCAATATGGGCGACGGCTGATGTCTTCGACTCATGCGCCTCAAAGTCGTTCTTGAGCGATTGCAAAACCGCGTTCAGGCTAGTGATACGAATGTCCGCGTCGATGACGAGACCGGTTTGAGGACCTCCTGGGGTTGCGGGGTACGCGAGCACTCGATCGAGACGGTCACGCAAGTCACGGATCTCATTGTGGGCGTCGGCAACGAGGCCGGTTTGAGGAGCTCCCTGCGTGGCAGGAGCGATGAAAAGGTTATCGAGACGGTGATGTAAATCACGAATGGCGTCCTGCGCCTCGACGACTGTACCCGTTGGGCCACTTGCTGGGTGGGAATCATCGAAAAGTTGGTTCAGACGCGCGTTCAGTGCACCGATGGATTGCTGTGTGTCGATGAGTCGGCCAGTTGGTGGAGCTCCTTGGGTAGCAGGTTCCATGAAAATCTGGTCGAGACGGCCGCGCAAAGTGTCCAGGGTATTTCGCACGTCAACAAGCAAGCCAGAAGGGTTAGCACCATCGGTGAGGATGCCATTGAGACGGGTAACGGCGGTATTGATCAGTCCATCTAGGCGCGTATTGGAGTTCTGAAGATCAGTGGAGAGAGTGTTGACTTGTTCAATCAACGTGGGTTGAGGGGCTGGCTGGGGCTGGTTGCCCTGCTGAGCAGCCGGGATGGCCTGCTGAGCGGCTTGGCCTACCATGCTTTCCAACGCCTTCACCTTATCTTCCAATCCCGGCGTGTCATTCCAAATCCACAGAAAGGGCCTCCTCAAATAGGGGACCTTCACGAGCCATTCCTTCGAATTTATGAACGTTAAAATACCGATCAAGAGAGTGACAGCGCTGAGACTGTAAGTTGCGATCGTGTTGCTGTTCCAGGGGTTGGACGGCTTCGCGGCATCCTCATGGGCTTTGACGAGACGCTCTAGAAGAGCGGTCCAGATGGGGTTGATGTCCCTTTCGCTAGGGTCCTCCTGGGCCTTGACGATGCGGTCGAGGATTTTGACCAAGATGGCGTTGATGTCGTCCTGACCAGACCCCCCGACAGAACGCTTCGTAATACGAGTACTGTTGGAGTTGGAAGGGGCAGGGGAGGTGGCGAGGATTGGGGGTTTGGTGGAATCCTCATCGACGGGGTCGTTGGAGTTGGCAAAGTCATCGTCGACCTCGCCAACGTAAGCAAGGTGCTCGCCAGATGGGCTACACTGCCAGTCACTGCAAAAAGTTGAGATCAGTACATGTAGACAGCCTGCCACAATGTCATGTAAGTACATACTCGGGGCGACACTCTCCCCATGCGAAGTCGGGGGACAGAGCATCGAGGGCATACCGACCGCGACCCGGCCTGCCCGGCTTCTTTGGTCCGGACTGAACAACAGGTCCCATCAGGGTGATAGCTGCAAGAGCCATACTGATGAGGTTCTCACGCTTCATGTTGAGAGACACAAAGGATCCTGGACGACAGTGGACACGAATGACGACGACGGACGATGCTCAGGACTGACGATGATGAGAGAAGAGAAGGAACGACGACGGCGAGGGCGTTCCTGACTTTTACCCTCCATCGTCGCTTGTATGTCTGCCCTGGACGAAGAGGTAAACTGCTCGACTGGGTCTTCAGCGGGAAGCTGCTTCGCGAACCAGAAAGACGGAGCCAGTGGATGGCATCGCGCATGCATGGTGCCATGAAAGATCGCCTAATCGACGCCGCCATCCTTGGTGTCGTTGCCGTCCTTCATCGATCTCGGTATGTTGTGAAAAGCATCGTTGAGTATTCGCATTGCATGGCCACTGAAGATGATGCCAGGAAAGAAAGGGCTCGGAGCTGCGCCAAAGAAGATTCGCGCTATGGAAGGCAGCAAGAAGCACGATGGGCTTTCAGTTGGAAGGAGCTGTCGTCGTCTCTTGTTCCCATGGTCGCCATCGCCGGTCGTTGTTGCCATTCGTCGTCGTCGTTGTCCGCCGTTTGTTCCTGCCAAGCCGCAAAACCAGGTGCGGACGGTGGCTCCTGCGTCGTGGCCGACCGAGACTTTGAAGTCTGCAGCCTGCAAAGAATAGCTCCGCAGATGTCTGCAGGCTTTTGATAGGTCGTCGATGGGATAATCAAGGAAAAGTGACGGGAAGAGCGGACGCTAGATGCAGAGCTCTTCCGAGTTGATGCTCCTCAATTTGCAGCCAACGACGGGAGAGTGCCAGCATCTGTCCAACCGGAACGAATTCAGCTCTGCCATTGGCTTTGAAGAAAGTGTCGATGCAGTCGATTTTCTCTCTTGATTGGACTGAGTGTCAAAAGACACCCGGGAAGCGGACTCACTGATGGCATATGCATGTCAACATCTGCCCGTCCAACTGCCAACGAATCCAAAACGACCGCTGCCCCCCCCCCCCCTCAGCTGGCGTTATATGCAGGCGACCAGCTCCCCGCAGAGTCGTTTTCGATGGAGACGTGGCTGCTTTGGATACCAAATCGGCTGCGCCTTCACTTCTACGTTTGGCGACATCTGTCCTGGTCAGTCCTTGCATCTGTAGAGGTACCAGCCTGGAGTTATGCTGGGGGATTGGCGGTGACCATGGAACGTGCGATGTCAAACGGTGGCGGAGACGTGGAACCGATTTCGTGCGGTCTGGAAGCCGCATGCTCGAGGTGTCCTTGCGTAGTTGAGATGTCGTGAAGAGATCCCAGAGGATCCAAGAGCTAGCAGGTTGGTGATGTCGCGGCTTGCTTCACCTGGCAAAGCCGACCAAATAGCCTTGAGACCCGCCGAGAGAATGCAAGAGACAAGTCTCACCCAAACCGAGTCCAAGACTCCTGTCGCGGTCTGGCACGTAGTCGTTGTATCCCGAGATGCTGATTGGACCATGCATAGCTTATCCTACATAAAGTGCCGTCTGGCAAACACAAAAGTTATGAGTACCACCACCACAGCCGCCGCCCTGCTTCTATCTGTGGGACTTTGACAACATATGCTAATTGAGAACCAATTGAAATTGCCCGACGAGTGGCTTGAATCTGGCTGATAGAAGTTGTTGCCATTCGCAACTCAACTTTTGACGGTAGCCCCTGAGTCTGGGGGTTTGTCCACTGAGTTATCAGGGATTTTGTCGCCTGGCAAAAGCTCAAAGTCAACTTCAGGACATGTCCTCAAATGTAAAGGCAACGGGATCAAAAGCACAGAAGAAACTTAATATCGTTCGCACAACATTCACTCTCAAAGTGTGACATGTCAGAACGAAGGTGACGGTGTTCGTCCGGGAACTCTGAAGGGACGAAAATTGAGGACACTGAACGGACAGTGCCCCACATAGGTGGAGCTCGATTACTTTCCTCCAATCACATTCATCTGACCTTGGGACGACAGGGATCAATGCCACGGGATGAGGTCAGCTTTCGATGTGGGTACCGGTTGCGTCAAAACGCCAGCAAGTCAACAAGCCGCATCGCCAAGTTATCACCTTGCCAGCTTCACGTCCACACTCCCCGCCCGCCTTCGGACAGCCAAACTCCTCTGCACTTTGGCCGCAGTCGCGCGACGTCCGTCATTTCGGGAATGACCATATAATCACAATGTCGAATGCGCTCTCCCTCATAGGCTGGGCCTTCTTGCCCAACGTACGCGACCCATCCCCTCTGCACCCTCGTCCCGAGAATTACATCACTAACCACCCTCAAAGCTAGCAACCTCCTGGGTCCAATCAATCTACTATGGCCTCGCGATCCGCGCCGGCGATCCGAAACCCCAACCCGGCTCCGCGAAATACGCCATCCACCGCCGCCGAATCTACATCCTCGTCGTCTCCGCCTACCTCCTCTACACCCTGATCGAAGCCGACCACACCCTCCGCCGCCAGGGCACGTTCTACACCGACCTCGACGTCGCCGCCTCCGCGCCCGTCCGCATCATCAAGTCCCGCTTCCGCCGCCTCGCAGCCGTCTACCACCCCGACAAACAAACCGGCGACTCGTCCGCCGCCGCCGCCCGCTTCATGCACCTCAAGACCGCCTCCGAGACCCTCTCCGACCCCAACCGCCGCTTCGCCTACGAGCGCTTCGGTCCCGTCGTCGGCAACTGGCAGAACTGCAAGACCGTCTACGACTTCGTCTCCACCGGCGTCTTCTCCGGCACCATCCCCCACTACGGCATCGCCGCCGCCGCCACCTACGGCCTCGGCCTGCTGGGCTACCTCGACTGGGGCCGCTACTGGCGCTGGGTCGTCCTCCTGACCTTCTTCGTCGCCGAGCTCATCGTCGTCACCCGCCCCGAGATGCCGCCCTACCTCGCCATGGCCAACACCGCGCTGAGCACCATCCTGCGCCGCCCGCCGTACCTGCAGTTCCAGCTCGTGTCGCTCGCGCGCCAGGCGGCCGTCACGATGTACATTGCCTTTAGCCAGATCGGGCCGCTTCTGAACCCGCAGGGCCAGGCGGCGCAGCGGGCTGCCGAGGGATCGGCGGCTGCTGTCGACGAGGGCTTGCAGAGGCTTGAGAACTTGGTTCGCGGATTGGACGGCGAGGCGAACCGGTTGCTGGACATGGAGATGACGCCATTCATGGGCGACAAGGAGGCTCTGAGCAGCGTGCGTGCCAAGGTCAAGGATTGGCTTGTGCAGAACACGATTCGGGCGGATCCGATGGTTAGAGATGCGATGGGCAATTCGTTCCGCAAGAGGAGAGTCGATGCGCCTGCTGGCGCGAAGGGCAACCGAACGTGAGACGAGGTAATAGACTTTGCCTTCTTTATACATGTATACCATGGTTCTTAGACACCCATACAAATACCACATCCTTTTTTGTCCTTTCAATTGCCAACCTATCAACCACTGGTGCGAAAAGCAGCCATGGCCAGTTTGAGGTTGCAGATCTAAAAATAAACAAGCTTATTGTCGAGATCTCTCAGCTTCAAGATGTGGCGTCTGTGGCTGAAGACTGTGGCGTACATCCAAAAACCCTTCACCCACAATGCCCCTCCCCCGCCAACTATCGCGAAGTAACCGGGATCGGACTGAGATACTCACCACCTCTGTCTCTCAGTTCCTTCACTTTAGAGACATTCTGACATACCAACTCAAAATGGCAGCAGCATCATCATGGCACCTTCTGCCCCCAGATCTCATCGAACATCAAATCGGCCAGATCGATCTCTTAATGGCCATGTACCCAACCGAAGATGAAGTGACCCTCGACAAGGACTCATCCACCCTCCTGGACTCCCTCAAAGCAGACCTCGAAAACGGCTCATCAAACTCATCCTCTCTTAAAAAGACGTCCCCCACCGTAACATTACTCCTCAACCTATCCATCCCCGACTCCGAGGACAAGACCCTCCCTCTCGACATCACCGTCCCCTTCTCACACACAGCGCCCGCAACCCCAGACGAGCCTCCACACATCAAAGTCCGCATCCAACAACCCCCCTGGCTCTCCCGCGCCGCCACCACAACCCTCAACGCCCTCATCCCCGAAGACGAAGACCTCTTCAGCACAATCGAGGCCATCGCCGCCTCAACCTCCGCACACCTCTCACAAGCCGCAGAGGAAGCAGCCGCCGCCGCAACCCCCTCAGATCCCCTTTCTTCGGGAGGAGGACCCCTCGTGCGCGTGTGGTTCTACTTCCCCTCCATCTCCACCCGCTCCAAGCGCGACGACTTTATCATCCACGCGCCGCGGTACCGCCTCACGGGCTTCCTCTACGCGGGGAAACCGGGCCTGCTGTGCCTCGAGGGATCCTCGCAGAATGTGGATGATTACATGCGTTTCATCAAGACGGAGTCGTGGGGGGATATACCCGCGCACCATAAGAAGGTCAGCGAGCGGCATCGCGAGGTGGGTGAGGGCGTGGAGAGGGTGTTTGCGGACATGACGGAGATCACGGACTCGGTGGGGGAGAGGAGGGGACAGAGGGCGAATCGGGGGGATATGAAGGCTGTGGAGGGGTGGCTTGTGGAGAGGGGTTTGGGGGATGCTTTTGCGAAGGTGTTGATGTGATGCGGTGTTTGAGGTGACTGAGGTGAGAAACTCAAAGGGAAAGGGATAGGAAACAAGAGGACTGAATGTGAGACCAGGGCCTCGGGGGGATAGTCACCATCCGTGATCAGCTAGACATGAGCTGTGCGAGGCATCTTCACGGCCATTCTTGCATACCCAGGACACAACTTTGGCCAAACACATCAATGCATTTTACAAATCTATACCCAACGTCTCCAGAGACGTCCAGTCTAAACCTCTACCCCTTACAAACCCCCCTTCACACAAGGGACACAATCCCATTATAACCTCTGCCTCCCCCTCGTCTCAATTGGAATCGCACACATCCCCACAAACGCCGCCAAAATCAGCGCGCCACTCAGGTAAATCGGCGTCGTCGTGCCATCCCCCGGCATATTCGCCGCCAGCACCGGCGCCATCAGCCCCATCGCCCTGTTCAAAAAGCTCGCCACGCCCGTCCCCGCCCCGCGCACCGGCGCCGGGAAGATCTCGGGCGTGAACGCGTACAGCACGCCGTACATGATATTCTGCGAGAAGCTCTCCACACAACTAAAAAACAGCTGGCTCGCGGGCGACGTGCCGAACTTGACGAACATGAAGAGGAACACGGCCGACACGAACGTCGAGCACGCGAGCGTGCCCCGCCGCCCGAGCCAGGGCGATTTGTGGTCGACGAGGTACGCCGCCAGCAGGCTGCCCGGCACGCCGACCGCGGACGTGATGGCGTAGGTGCGGTACGTGGCCGGCGTGATGGGCGTCGCGCCCGCGTCGGGGCTGCCCTCGGGCGGCGCGGCGCCGCCGTGCGAGAGGTACTGCGGGAGGAAGGCGTTGAAGAGCGGGTATCCCATGCCGATGGTCGCCCAGACGAACCATACGATCGCGGTCGCGAGGCCGAGCGTGCGGGTTTTGAAGAGCGGGCGCAGGCGGTCTGCGGAGAAGGACTTCATCTTATCCTTGAGCACGCCGGCTGTCCTCGCGCGTCCGGAAGCGGCGGTCCCGTCGTCGTCGGCGGTGGCGACGCCCTCCACCACGGCGTCGAGGATTTCTTCCGTAAGCCACGTCTTCGCACCGTTGCGGTACGCGATGCCGTGCACCACGGCCACGGCCTCCGCCTGGCGGCCCTTGGAGAGCAGGAACTTGGGCGACTCAAACAGCCGGAACGCGAAGAAGCGCACCACGAACATGATGAAGGTGACCAGCCCGATCGTCAGCACGAAGCGCCGCCATCCCTGGTCGGCCGGCCAGTTCACAATAAAATACCACGCCGCCAGCGACGAGCTCAGCTGGCCGACGGGCCACCACACGGACAGCAGGGTGAGCAGCGAGCTGGACGCGTCGGGGAGGAACTCGAGGAAGAGGGCGCCGTCCACCGGAAGATTGCCGCCGACGCCGAAGCCGAGGGACGCGAAGAGGAAGCAGACCCAGCCCCAGGAAGGCGCGAAGGCGAGCAGGATGCCGAAGACGCCGGTGATGAGGAGGGTCATGTTGAAGGCGATGCGGCGGCCGAGGACGTCGGAGCCGATGCCCCAGACGAAGGAGCCGAAGCAGAGACCGAGGAAGATGGAGGAGGTGGTGTAGCGGACGGTCTTTTCGGAGATGGCGAACTCGGCGGAGAGGGAGGGGAGGGTTAGGGAGACGCCCTGGTGGTTGTCAGTTGGGAGGATGCGGGAAGGGGGAGGGTGGTGAAGACTCACGTGCATCCATAAGCTGGCAGCATGGTTAGTGAGGTTCATGATGAGTGCGAGGGTTGAGATGTGCTTACTTATCCGCAAACCATCCAAAGCCGCATAGGATGAAGAGTTGCCAGTTATACCTCCCCATCCCAATATCCTGAATCGCCTTGTTGACAAGCTTGGATTTCACTGTCCCCCTCCCATTAACCATCTCATCCAGCTTCATCCATCACGTAGATAACTCACATTCATACTCCGTCCACATCCCCCTCCCGCCCCTCCGAACTTCCTTCCTCAGCCCTTCAATCGTATACTCCGCCGCGCTCATCTCCAACATCCCCGTGCTCTCCCCCTGGTCCTTGCCATCCTCATCGTCGCCGTCGTCATCCTCATGTCCCGGGCGCTCCTCAAACTCGCAGCGGCCTATACGCGCCGAGTGGCTGTGCAGATGCGCCTCCTCGAGAGGAACAACGACGCCGAGGTAGTCGTGTACGGACTCGGGCTGGTCGGAGAGCAGACGGCGGACAAAGGTGCGCAGGAGCGCCATGCCTCTTGACTCCTCTGATGCTGCACCAGCAGCTCCTCGGTGTGTCGGCGAAAGGTAAGATTAACGTAATATGCGTCGCCCACGTGACTGTCGTAGATATAGCCTCGATGTCCTCGTGAAAATAGCAACCCGATGATGCCGTCCTCAGCTTTCGTGTCGTCGCGTCGGCGTCTCACTCCCAGCTCTTACTCAGTAAATAACAACAAGTACCTGATCCTTCAAAAGTCCCAGTTGCCATCTACATCTTTCCCATCTAAGGACACGTATAAAAGAGACCTCAGGAAACACGAAAAGATGAAAGAATCCGATGGAATGTGAAAACAAGAGGAACGGTGAGATGAAAGAGACGTGATGTGTAGTGTACCTAACCCCCATGCTCACTCCCTCGTAGTTCGAGGACACCTGACTAAAAGAAACGACCACGCCGCGCATTAGCGCTCCTTAGGTAATCTAGGGGGGTGCCAGGTCATCCCGCAGCGCGCAGCGGAAAATGCATCGCGCCACCTCAGGGGACATGGAGGACGAAAATAGCGTTGCAGGCGTGCTGTAACCTCCGCCTAACACATCGTCACCCAGCGATCGAGACGATCAGTTAGTGGCGCTACGGAACGTCCGGGGCAGCTTGTGAAACATCCCCAGGGCCTGCAGCGGTCACGGGCCGAGGGCAGCTGCGCGTGCAGCGTGGGGTAGGATCCTTGTCATCTGCACCCCAAATGTCCTCCTAGTGGTTCTGGTGGGTTGGAATGAGAATTGCGATTCTACGAATAATCTCTCTTTGAAGCCATCATGATGCTAGTTCATTACGAAAGCCGCCATAGTCCACAACGCCCCTTAGTAAACCCATAGAAACAGTGCCAGGCCATGGAAACGCCATCTCCCCATCTAAGTGTACTTTGACTCTAAACCCGAGCTTAAAGCAGCTCTCCGTCTCCCTCGTCAGCACCCTCCTCTTCATCTTCCCAGTCGTCCATCGCGGCTGCCCGTCTCTCGGCCTCCTGCTGTACTTCAGCGAGACCTGAGAGCTCTGCGACATAGTCCTTCTCCTGCAGCGCTCTCTTGACAAAGCCCCAGCCGTCCTGTCTGTAGGCATCCAGAATCGGAGGGCCACAAGCACTGCAGCAGGGGTATGACTGGCCGCGGATCACTTTGGTGCTGAAGTTGTGCACGTAGCCACGTACGGTGTGGGGAACCAAGCCGAGGGCATGGTCAACAGGGTCATTCTCGGCATCATGCGTATGAGGCGCCTTAGCGTGATGCTTGAGAGGATGTTGAAGAAGACTCGCGAAGAGCTCCACGACTGCTGCTGACGCCATAGGGGCAACACCTGGCCGAGTAACTGTGCACTGCTGGTCGAGTGTCTGGTCCTTCTGCGACTAGAAGGGGTTAGCAGGAGTCGCGACTTGTCTTTTCAACCCCGAATACTCACATCAGCGGGTGCAACTACATCATTGCAGAAGTAGCAGCCCAACGTCGCACGCTCCTGATCATCCGGCTGGACATTCTCCGGCTCAGCTCCGTGCCTCATAACTACGTAGGAATCGAATCCGAGCGCGGCATTCAACACGATTTTGCCTGCAGCTTTGCCTAGGACGCTTGGAAGCCATCTCGACTCACGGCTGTCCATCAGGAGGAAGACAGCATCGTGATCGTCAATGAGCTTCTTCAGCTTGTCGAAGTCGCCCCTGGTCTTCGTCTCGTCTGTGAAGGGGTGGCCAACCATCGGAACAGATAACACATGTCCCTCGCTGTCAACGCCGGGATAAATCTCCTTCAGCGCCTCCGCTGCGCGAACGGCCTTGGGCTTTCCGCCTTCTAAGCAGTCCTCAAAGTTGAAGAGAGGTTGGCGCACGGGGTTTGAGTACGAGACACGGCCATAGTCGACGAAGGTGATTTTCCGCACGCCCCATCCCATCAGATTCCGCGATACATAACTGCCCAATGTGCCAGCCCCCAGTAGCAGACACTTGGTGTTCTTGATGGCATCCAGATCCAGGTTGGGTGAAATGCGCCACTTCATGAGCTTCAGGTTCAGATCCACAGATTGATCTGCCAGCCTTGTCGGATCCATGTACTCGCCAAGGTTTGCGACTCTGGCGCGAAGCTTTCCTTCCGCGTCTCTCTCCCAGCCCGTGACCTTGGGCATTTCGGCTACCGCGAGCGGTTCAACGGGATCCATCTCCAGGGGCAGAATGATGCTTCTGGCAGCGTGTCTGCTGGCCCTGATGTCGCGGTAGCATAGGATTTGCACCTTGGTCAGCTTGAAGCGTTGACGGACAAGCCAAAGCAGGTTGCGAAGAGGCCATGACGGGTTCTCGGGGTACGTCGACGGGTCTACAAACGCAACGTAACGATCCTCCTCGGCGACGTCGTCGAAGAAGCCGTTCTCAAAGTCGCCAAGATTTGCCACCTCCCAGACATAGCCAAAGGTATCATTCAGGTCGTGCAAGTCGCTGTTAGCGTCCTTGTCTAGGTCGCTGACATCTGTACCGCGGGCCTTCTTAGCAAGGAAGAAGCCGTTCTGCCTCTTGTCGCGGTTCGCTGCCCAGGTGCCTACACGGTCGACGAGCGCCGTGCTCTCCTTGGGATCGAGGCGGCCGATCGGGCCTGTCCGCTTCCACTGGGGATCTGAGTGGAGGGCGGGGAATGCGAACCAGTATGTAAATCGGTACTTCTTGAGGTCTGCATAGGAGAGGATCGCAAACGAAGACAGAAGCGAGGGGACAGAATAAATGGTGCCATCGTTTATGGCGTCCCAGATCTAGCACCAGTTAGTACGCAGCTTGCAAACCAGTCAATCTTGGACTCACATGGCGAGCGGCGAGCTTCAGCATCGCTTGCTTGTCTGTGTTCTTGAAGTCCTCGATGGTGTTGACGTTCTTGATCCAGCCCTCCCCGCGGACGTGCTCATCGTTGGGCCTGCTCTCCTCATCAGTCCTGTGAGGGTCAACATGAGGGCAGCGCGAGCCCAAAAGCTAGTCTTGCTTACTGGTCGGCTGTGAGGGCGTTGCCTAGGATTGACATCCTGCAGCTTTGGGCCGGGTCGACGGGCAGTGGGGTGTACTGGCCCAGAACCCTACGCGCCGAATCGTCCAGTTTGTCATGCTCGAGCTTGGAGGAGAATAGAGCTGCATAGAAGGGGAGCTCGATCTCGGAAGAGAAGGGGGCGTATTGGATTGCAGCCATCTTGGGCTTTTCGAAAGGTTATGCGCGATGCGCCTAGCGGGGGTCCGGTCGGAATACGCGGGTTCGAATGCGCAGTTGACGATCGGAATACTCTGGGGATGTTGGACGAGAGAAAAGAGGACGACGACGGACGACGAAGGACGAAGAATGGCGGAGGTAGTGACAAACGGAAGCAGCAACCGTTGTGGCACGGAATGACTCAAATGGTGGAGGAAGGTGCGATGCGACGGAACAGGCAGGTCGCTCTGGCGAATCTCTGTCGAAACCGACCGGACAAAAAGGTATGCTCGCTTAGCTGGAATATAGGAAATCAGTCATCTGCACTAGAAACAGAGCACGCCTTCTTTTTCGGATCACGGGAGCAGCAGAAGTTGAGGACCTGGAAGAGTGAGGTAGAGCAAGATGATGTCCGACAGGCAGGAGGTAGGGTTAGGTAGGGAGGGTAAGGGTAGCTTCCCCTCCAACGCCCAGGCTGCGACGACGGACCTGCCCAGCTGGACAAAGGTGGGGGAGCTCAGAGCCACGGGGTGCGCATTATTGTGTCATGCCCGCAGCTGGACCTGGGAAAGTGGCCCCTGCGTCCTGTGTCCCGCCGGCTAAATCTCGGAAACGGAAAGAGGCGCGGGGTAATCTATGCCGACCCAAGTGGGAAAGCGCTTTACGCGACTCAAGGGGAGAAGCGCGTTGGCGGGAATTGGCTTCGCGACGTGGACCGCCTTTCCATTGGACACTTGTTGCCGGGTTGTTGCAGAGCTTGCACATGCATTAGCAGCCCTGCGAAGCCCACAGTCGCAACTCATGTTCAACCGTTTGCAACTGTACCTTGCCGTCGATTCCATTTTTAAAACCTAATATTGCTGTGCTGTGCCGAACCAGACAGTTGGCAAGATGCTCATTGGAATCTGCGGTGGTAAGTCGACACTCGCCCTTCAACTCACCCCCGGTCTCATTTGAGATGCGCAACCTCAAATATTCCATGAATAAAATTTCCTGACTTCTCCGCAGGGATTTGCTCCGGCAAGAAGACGGTGGCGCAGTACCTTGTCGAGCACCATGATTTCAAGCTACTCCGCCTCGACACGCCCGGCGGAGAACCTCAACCTGAGGAAAAGAAGACTCGCGATGACCGGTTCGTGACGCCGGCGCGCTATGAGACGCCCGCATCATATGAAGCTCCCTATGAGCCACCTCACAGGAGAGAAGATACACCACGTAACAGCACTCCCCGCAATGGAACCCCTCGCAATGACAACGCCTACACCGACTCCCGCGCACCCATTTTTGGCTTCTCGCCCGAGCCTGAACCGTGGGGTGAGCCGGAGCCTGCTCACTCAATTGCTGACACCAACGAGTTCATGGAGGCGCGGCGCAACCAATCCAACAACAACAAGAAAAAGAAGAACAAGATCAACAAGGACGCCATCTGCTACAACTGCAGACAAAGAGGCCACTGGAAACAAGACTGTCCACACCCTAACCAGGATAACGCCCTTACCATCAACACTGTCAATGGCATTCCCGTAGGAGACCACTCCGAGACGCCCTCTCTCAACGCCGCCGCCCCTTCCTTCTCCATGAACCCGAACAGCACCAACATCAACACCAGTAACAGCAACAGCAACAACTCATCCAACGATAACGAGCTCAACTTCTCCTCCGCCGAGTCCCTCCTGGAATACGTCACCACCCGCTGGCAATCCCGCTTCGTCATGACCGACGTCCACAACGAAGCCATCCTCGACCAGCTCGCCAAGCGCCCCTTCTTCATGCTCGTCTCCGTCGACGCCCCCCTGACCGTCCGCCACGCTCGCTTCCGCTCCGCAGTCAACCCCCACTGCACCCTCGAGTCCTTCGCCCTCGCCTCAGACACCCACCTATACGACCCCAACGACGGCCTCCAGCCCCTCATCTCCCGCGCCACCGTCCGCCTCCTGAACACGTCCTCCTCGCTCGCCCACCTGTACGCCACCCTCGGCAAGATCAACCTCGCAGACCCCGTACGCTTGCGCCCGACGTGGGACGCCTACTTCATGTCCCTCGCGACGCTCGCCTCCCTCCGCTCCAACTGCATGAAGCGCCGCGTCGGAGCCGTGCTCGTCGGCAACGAGAAGCGCGTCATCTCGACGGGCTACAACGGCACGGCGCGCGGCCTGCAGAACTGCTCCGACGGCGGCTGCTCCCGCTGCAACTCGGGCAACTCCTCCGGTGTCGGGCTGGCGACGTGCCTGTGTCTCCACGCCGAGGAGAACGCCCTTCTCGAAGCCGGACGGGAGCGCATTCGCAAGGGCTCGGTGCTGTACTGCGATACTTGCCCCTGTCTCACCTGCAGCATAAAGATCTGCCAGGTTGGTATCGAGGAGGTGGTGTATGCTCACGGGTACAGCATGGATGACCAGACGGCGGCGGTGTTCAGGCAGGCGGGTGTCAAGTTGAGGCAATACATCCCGGTGAGTCTTGACTGAACGTTGATGATTTTGTGAATTTCTACTGACGAAGCGATAGCCTGCGAACGGATTGATTCACTTGGAGAATCTGGACAAGATGAAGTACATGAGCATGCAGTAGGCTAAGTACCCCCGGATTATAAATGGATTTGGTACATAGCGGGGCCAGAGAGAACCCTGATGGGCCTCGTCTGAGTCGACAGAGTTTAACAAGATTACCCGCCTTCTGAAGGTTGGCGGCACCAAATCACCAAGAAGCAATATTCATCCTTTCAAGTTGTTCCTTTCAGGACCTACGACTGGGAAGTTTGATTCGGTAAAAGCAGCTAGCAGCAGCACAGTCGTGCCTACTCAATTTACTTTTGCCTTTCACCATGTGATCATATCCAAGGAGCTCATTTTCGTTCTCAGTATACTCAATTGCGCATAATAATTGGAAGAACCTGAGTCTGTCAGAGACGTCAACGTCGGCGGTTTTGAAGTCACGTCCACAAATTAGACACCCGACGCTACCTCGGACCCGGAGCGGACCGGTGCCGTTGGGCCCGTTTTTCCCGATGCAACGCCGCGCGGCACGGGCCGATGCAGTGGACACTCGCCACAAGACTTCCCAAGCCACATGCGATGAGCCAGGCTTTTTCAGTCGATGTCAAACAGATACCTGAAAGCATTGAAATTGTGGCTACGAAGACCGCCCCCTGCTTCACCTTTGTTGGTTGTCCGTACGGACTCCAATCCGCCTTCTCCGGAAGCGAGACCGAAGCCTCTTGACTCAAGCACCTCCGGCCACCGTTTCACGGCCCCAGCTCGAAGGCCGAATGCTCTTTAAGCATACAACTTCGGGAAATTGCTGCCTAATGGGTTTTGCTTACCAAAGGACATGCATAAGGATAAGCATACAGACCGCCGCGCCGGTAACGTCATCCGAACTGCGGCTAAAGCTTGTTGCAAAGTCGCCGGTTGTACAGATGGCATGAGCCTGACACACAGCCGTGACAGTTACGGTCAAATAGTGAGCGCTTATGGTTTGCTCGGTTCCACTACGACGGTAGGTACGGTCGCATAGGTTTGCCAAGTCTCCGGCTGCTTCACGCTAAAGTCAACGGGAAGAGGGCGTCGATAGGCGCGTGTACTCAAAGTGTACGACGGATGAGATGTCCGATACTGGCGTTTCTATTGGTTGTCACAGAATCTGAGCATCGTGATGCAAGTATATAAGGCATTCTCCCTTCCATCAACATGTGCAGAACAAGAATATCATTATCACTGCTTTCCGGTCTGGTACCAACTCCGAACTTTCGACTTCCATTCCAATATACACATCCAACCCTTTCAAAATGCGTCCCGTCTCGGCTCTTACGCTTGCTATTGCTGCCTTCACCGGAGTTGGAGCCTTTCGTCTCAGTGTCGCCGAACACCGGGGTCTGGTCATGGTAAGCCAACACCCAACGCATAGCTACGTTACTCGAAGATGTACATGTAACCAAGGATCGGTTACTGACTATCTGAAATGGTGATAAAGGCGCCTATTCTTGTTCTAGCAGCCCCGGTCATCGCATCTGAGCCCCTGGAACCGAGACGATGCAAGTCGATTGACCCTGCTGAGTGCCAACAGGACTAAAGTCAGAGGAAAGCGTACAAGGGATCTATAAATTGCTTGTGATCCTCCATTGGCATTAATTAGTGGTCAGCGTGATGGTATTTGAGAGTCTGGGAGTAGAGACCTATTTTACGGGCGGAACCTTTCAGCTACTATGGCCAATCGAAAGACAATGCAAATGTAACAATGAGAAAGGAAGTGACGAGATGCGTCATCGCTAGGCAATTTGATCAGGCAGGAATGATGTAACAATAAGTGTACTGTAACATAGTATCCAGCGTGTTTTGCAGCCAACGACATCTTCTCATCGGCTAATTGTGTCTACCCAGATGGCGCATATGCCTAGATCCTAGAGGATACAGCGGTGAACAGGGTCTGCGATGCCGCGAAATGGTGCCCCCCACAATATATATGGAAAGGTTTTGCGTGGTGTGAAATTGATCTCTTAAGTTGAGCTACCCAAATTTCTTATTCAGATCGAGGAACGCGCCCGCTATGCGCGTCCAGGTCATCGATCGCGATAGCCGGTGCAGTTGTACGTCCGCCTCACTATCAATATCTTCAGGAAAATCAAAACAGCCCAGCATGCGTTCGCCTTCACGAGGTCCATCAAAGTGACGTATCTCTGTGCGACCCTCCACACCTCTCCGCAGATCAAGACACACAAGGGCATGACCCATGTGCGTTGCAACCCTAACAACGACAATCCCACTGAAAAGGAGTGTACGAAGTTCCATCTTGACGTCTATAGAAAACCCATCTTCGCTTCTACGAGTGAAGAATAGATTGAAAGGCCCTCTGGTTGTAAGCGACTTGTATGTGTCGTTTGCTAAGAGATATCTCAAGATATGTTGCTCGTCGATACCAGTGACTGTGTGTAGTTCGGACACGCTGCGACAAGGTACTTGTCCCCGCAAGAAGTCGTGCCACGGCCATTCGCGCACGGAAAGACTCTTTGCGATTACAATGATGAAAGCAGCTAAGACCCAGGTGAAGGTCGCGATGTTGAACGGATCAACTCCAGGAATACGCTCGCCAAGAAGCAGACCTGCCAATATCCCACCCACAACAAGAATGCCACACGCGGTCATCGTCGTTGTGACATATACCCGCCTCTTCACGACAATAGCCGTCTCCTCTATGGCCCAACCTTGAGTCCTTTCAAGCCGATTGGGGCCCGTGGGAATTGTATCGATGGACCGCAAATGTTCCAAAGTCCGTATCAAATTCGGACAGACATTTAAGGGATGCGGATATTCCATCAATTGCAGTGTACGCGAAATTGAAGGCTGAGGATCAGGGCCTATGACACAGAAACTCAAATCCACGGATGCCGAGAAGTTGGTCCTTGAGGTGCGATAGAAAGGTTCAGGGGTGTTTTCGGAACCGATTGGTGCTTCTGTAACGAGACCCGAATGGCGATTGACCTGCAGCAATCGCTTGGGTTGCATGAAAAGGAGGGGTATCAGAAATGACAAGACGTCTGCCAGTGTTTCTAGATCTCCCTCTTTGGGATCCGGGTCGAAAGTATAGCAGGAGTGCATTGCTGGCATGTCTCGATACTTGAGCCTCATCCATACACGCCCGGACCCGTACAAACCGGTTGGAGGTCCTTTCCAAGGATCCGAGAAAGGCGCTGCGGGCTTGACGTCGATTTTACGTGAAACTTGATCGAGAATATCGAAAGCTCCTTTTGCGTTCCCTGTGGCTGACCTCGCACTTGTTCCAGATACCTCTCCGTATTGGTTTTCGCTCAACATGATCGGCACGTGTCTCCAGCCGGTCTTGTAAACGACAGCAGCAATGGTGAAAGTTTTGTTCCAAAACTCACCCTTCTCTCCAAAATTGAGATCCCTGAATATGTTCAAAACATTTTGCAGAGCCCACGATGAAGCAGAAAAGGTCCGGGAAAAATTGCTTGTATCGAGTTTGTCGGCATGCCTGAAGCCCGAGGCCAGATCCTGTTGTTCGTTCTCGAGGCTCTGGCTGGCGAATCCTTCTGGGTCAATGGCGAGGAACTTCAATTTCGCAGCAAATCTTGCCAGAGACGCCATGCAATGAGCATACCAAGAACTGTCCGCGAAGTTATGGGCTGCAAGTCTTGCTGCCGTAGCAGTGACATAGTCAACCAGAGCGCAGTAGAATTCACGTCTCTGCCTCGCCGATGCCGCAAAGGAGGCTTCAGCTCTTTCCTCTGTATGTCCTTCTCGTGCTTTTTTCTGTTGACCTTCTAAAATTGCGCTTCTTGCCAAAGAAAGTTCCTTTTTCTCGCATGACTCGGGCTGGCAATTGAAGAAAACAAGTTTGTTGTCAAAATCGCATACGGCGATATTTTGGACAATCTCACTGGCCACCCTCGACAGAAGCTTGAATCCGGCGTAATCTGGGACCCATTCCTCCGCAATTATGGGTTTGAGAGGGTTTTGAGTGATGTCTGTTTCCAAAGCCGCGGCGAGTCTGTTGGTTTCTAGTAGCCATAGATCTGACTTTTGGGCGACAGATAGTCCATATCGGCAGATATCATCCAGCTTCGAATGAAAGGCGGCAGGTTCCGTCGTATAGTTTCGAATGTACGACTTCTGTAAATCGACGAAGATCTGAGTTTCTCGACGCGGGGGGCTCGGTCCAGCATTGCGGCTATCATCTTCGGAAAATTGAGTTGTTGAATAGTCATCTACGCGGTTTCTCCTTAGTGCCAACGTATTTAATATCTTCATCTTGAGCCTTCTTTTAGTATAGGTACCGCGAACACCGGAAGATGAGGCCGCTGAAGATGTCTCGAGAGGATCCATAGCGGAAATTTGCGCTGCCGTTGGTGTGCCTGCGAGAATGTGGACTAATGTGGTTCATGCAAAGTGGCAATCATGTAGGCGAGAAGAAGTAAACAATGAGCAGCATTACTTGAATGGAAAAGTAGTTGACCTAGGTGCGCGGCACCGCCCTATGTGAAGTAGTCAGCCCCGGGAAAAGTGACAGTGTATGGTATCACGCATGACCGTCGATCACCTTCCAATTGCAAGGTCAAAAGCACCCTTGTCGACATGCAGGCCCCAAAATTAGGCGCCTAGTCAGTCGCTAGTGTGGCTTCAGCTGAACCTTGGCAGACAAAATCGGTATCGTCACCTCTTGTCCGCATGAGATCCAGGCATCCAAGGCAACAGAAGTCGTGACGGAAGCAACACAGTCACGTACAAAAACCAACCAAAAGTACTGATCTCCTGAAAAGCTCAGCTGAGAGCTTCTTATCGCAAGTCCACAGCGACCCAAATTGCATGTACACAGAACAAATATGAATCCTGAAGACGTTATCAACGAGTTCAACAAAATTATCGGTCCGAATTTTAGCTTGACTCAAGGTCGAGTATTGAAACAAACGGACACTGGTTCCGAGAACCGGTGTGATGCAAGCACTCATGCTCGCGGCCAAACAGAGGGAGCCGGCAACGCAGCTCATATCGCACAATCCACACTCGAGGAATCTAGCGGGGAAAACGACAAGATGGTTCTGGAGGACCAGGAGCTGCTACTCCGCAGGCGAATTGCTCGAAATCTTCATGCAATGCTATTCAAGACTAAGGAAATGATATACATCAAATACGGTCCTGGATCAGGGGCCAAAGTTGCTGAAGAATGCGCCATCGTTACCAGCATCGAAAAAAAGGCTATCAGGAATAATGATGGCACCGACGACGAACATCAAGCCACTCATGTCTTATTGTATGTCCGCACATGTAACAAAGGCCGCAGCTTCGGCCTTACCAGACACTCCATAGAGATTGGTTCTTCGTCTCAAGAGATGGTCAGTCTCACCGCAGAAGACCTGGGCGTAATACCAATGAGGTTGCTTCCTACTGCAGAAAGACAGGATATTCAGGAAAGGCTCATTTCTCGGGGAAGGAAGTACCGTTGGATTTGTGAGCGTCCACATAACCTCATGCAGTATGAAGGTCCAGTGATTCCACTGGGTCAAGGGGCCGATTGGGCAAGGAGGGTAAGCTACTTGGTCCAGTCTGCATGCCTACCTTACTACTCATTGCTAATTACCTTATGTTACAGACAGACCAAAGAGTCATGCTTGACGGGATAGCAGACCGAAAGATGCGAGGCGCTCCCGGCGATAACAGCTTCATTGCTGCATATCGAGGACAGGGCCTGCAGGCTTTCTTGAGCACCAACGTCTACCCAATGCCGCACAGCCGTGGCCCTTCATCAAGCCAAGTTGGAGGGCTAATGGGCGACAAAGTTTTGCTTGGGGAGAAGGGCAAACAAAAGTCTTCGGAATATGAAAGGACGAGAGGAGACTACGAATGGACTGATATTGACTGCCTCACTTGCCCGCCGATGCTGGTGGCCTTCTTGTTGGAAGAGAACATATGGGTCAACGTTCATGTTGAACATCTGACAGATATCGTCTGGCCCGAAAACCCATTCGACTCACTCGAGCTGGAGATTGGGAAGAAGAGTTTGATCCAAAACATCACAGGCCGCTTCAAGACGAAGGAAATACGTGAGGGTTCGCATCAAGACACCGGAGGAGGGCTGAGAGGAAACTTAATTATCTTCCTGACTGGCCCTCCTGGCGTCGGCAAGACTTTGACAGCAGGTAATGATGCCAACTCCCATCACATGCCAGTACAAATCTGAAGAGAGCGCTAACTGTCTGCAGAGGTCGTCGCCGAGGAAGCACAGCGTCCCCTATACCGCATATCGGCCGGAGAGTTGAAAGTTGATCCTTCAGACTTAGAAAAACAACTCGGTGACATCTTCCTCCTAGCGCGGCGCTGGGGAGCTATCATCTTGATTGATGAAGGTGACATGCTCATGACGAAGAGGCAAGCGTCGACGCCAGCTCAAAATGCTACAGTGACAGGTGAGTTAACATCAGTTCCTCCACATCAAAAGTCACATTGATTCAGCAGATTAACAAGACTTGCAGCGTTCCTCCGGTTAATCCATACTTATGATGGGTTAATCTTCCTCACAAGCACATCCGAGGACATTGACACAGCCTTCTACGATCGCATCCACGCAACAATCAAGTACGTTGGACTTGACGAAACCCAGCGAACGAACATCTGGCGTCGTCAACTACAGCGCGCCATTCGCTCCCCGGAGGAGCATCCCTCAAGTTCTCCATGGCCGGAGGAGACATACCGGCTCTTGGGGAAAGTCGAAACCAATGGACGGGATATTCGCAACATCGTCCGGACCGCCGAGCAGCTAGCTCTAGGTCTGTCGACCGAATTGGCAATGAAACATGTCGTGGCAGCCATGCGAAACTTCGGAGGCTCAGACGACAACGTTGGGTCCATCTGCGAGAAGTTGGAGGCGTTGGAAGAAAAGGTCGGGGGGGATCGTGAACAAGCATGTGATGATGATGTTAAAGTTTCTCCAACATTGAATCAGTGAGAGGTCCAACGGGTTGCAATGACCGGAACACACAAATGTTCTGCGTTCGTATGGCAGCTAGTGTGACGATGATCGACCATGGAAGCAATAGTGGGCTGCGAGGTACCTTGGCACTACCTCTTTGAGCTCGACGGCATATTGAGACGCTGGAAGTGCTGACTGTGTGCCCACTCATCTGCATCAGACCCCTGCTGAGAACGTAGTGATAACTGTAATATGTGATAGAGAGAACTAACTACTAGCGCTAGGGCGCTAGAGAGGGCTATATAGCAGCCTCTAGCACTTACTAGCAGTCCACAGCAGTGGCAGCTGAGTGGCAAGGCCTATTAACACCCCCCCTCAGGCCTCACAGCGCTAGCTAAAATTGCTCCTTAAGCTAAAAAGCTTAAAACTAAGGAGTTTTTAAAGTATTTAATAACTTAGCGAAACGCTAGCTAATCCCTAGCCTCTAATTAGCCTAAATAACCTAGATTAATCCTTCTCTAAGCTAGTTAATATCTTCTATCCTATCCTACTATACTTAATCTAAACCTTCTACTAATTTTAGTATTCTAATAAACTTTATATGCTTAATAATACTAAGGCTTTTTATAAAGCTATTAGTAAGTATCTTATTACCTCTAATCTAATAGATTGTAATAGTTTTATTATAAATAGTTTCCTAAATAATCTATTTATAGTAGAGGTTAATATAATAAGTTTAAGCCTTATTAAAGGGATTTATAATATTAATATATATATTAATACTATTAGTAAAGAGAATAATAAGTATAAGAATCTCTTTATTAAGCAGCTACTTAACTATATAATATAGCTACTTTATAATAACTATAATAAACGTTAAGTTAATATACTTAGCCTTAGTTAAACTAAAAGTAATAAAGGTTTACTTCTTTAACTTCTAAATAACTAAGCTACTAGTAAAATAAATAATATAGCTACTAGTTAAAACTTAAGAGGGCTTATTATTAGTAAAAGATAAATCTATTATAGTATATAAGCTAAGGTTAGTTATTAAGAAAGGACTACTAAAAATAATACTATAGTAAATAGTTCCCTTAAGGTATTAAAAGAGATACTTTATAGTATATAGGTAAGCCTTTAAAAGGTTAATATTAGCTTAGCTAAGCTTACTAATTATAAAGGATATATTAGGATATATATTAGTAGTTAGATAGTTAAAGTAGCTAGTCTCTTTAATATAAATAGTACTTTCTTCTTCTATATATTCCTTAAAGTCCTATATTATTAGTAGCTCCTTATAAGTTACTATAGGAGTCTTAATAGTATTAATATCCTTATATCTAAAATAAGTAAGAATAGCTTTAATATACTTAGTCTAATTAATAAAGATTTAATTATTAATATAGTCTCTAATAATCTAAAAGCCTAAGAACTTAGTAGCTTTACTAAGATCTTTAAAGGGGTAGATCTTACTAAGTATATTATAAACCTACTTTATAATCTTCTTATTAAGAGTAATAATAATATTATTATTAATATATATAAAAGTATAAGCTCTAAATAACTTATTAATAAATAAGTAGACCTTACTATTAATAGAAATAAAGCTAAGCTTTTATATCTTAATACTAATATAGTTAAACTATTAGAGAGGGCTTTTATAAAGGCTATAAAGTACTTTTTAAAGTAGCTAAACTTTATTATTATTTTTAGAGAAACTAAGAAGCTAATAGATATAGACTTTTATATTATTAAGAATAAAAGTAATTAAAAAAGCTATATTAAAATTATATATCTTATACTTAAGTCTATAAAAAGCTATAATAGTAAAGAATATATAGATAGTAGTAGCTATAGTAACTACTATATAGACCTCTTAAAAGGATTAATCTCTATACTTATAATTACTATAGACTACTTAATAAGCTTTATATTAGATAATCTTATTATTATTATTAATCTTAATATTAAGTACTTATTTATTAAGTAAGATCTTAATATCTTAGAGAGGATAAATAAGCTTATATATACCTTTATTATAAAACTATTATATCTCTTACTTAAATACTACTTTCTATTTAGACTATTAAAAGCTAAACTTTATATTATTATAAAACTTTAGAATAATAATACTATTAAGTAGTACTTTTAAGAGAGTAGTAGTAATAATAATGCTAAGTATAAAATAATAAGTATAGTTTAAAACCTAGATATTAGTAGCTATAAAGAGCTTCTTTTTATACTTATAGATATTAATAAGCTAATAGTAGTATCCCTCTAGCTTCTAAGCTACTTAGTAAAGTTTAATTTAAACTATTATCTCTATAACTATTATATTAGTTACCTCTTTAATAGTTTCTATAGTATAAGCTAAATCTCTATAATTAGCTTCTTTATCTTCTAGTATACTTTTAAATAAGTTATTATTATTATTATCTTATATATTAATCTCTAAAGATATTTATATAGTATTATTAGTTACTATAGTTATATTTTCTATAATATTCTAATAATAGAGGACTTCCTTTAGAAGTAGAGATATTATATAGTTAATATAAACTAGCTTTTAATTAATATTTTTATTATTAGAAGTCTATTTCTTAATATTAATAATAAGTTCTTTAGAAGTATTAGTTATAATAGATATAATAAAGTAATAAATTAGAAAATTAGGATTATTAAAGTAAATATTATAATTATTATTATTAATAATAAGAGCTTTAGTAATAAGTAGAAAAACTATCTTTTAAAGCTATTTATAAAATTAGATATCTTAGTAATAGAATATTTTCTTCTTATTAGGAATATAGATATAGTAAATATAACTATAAAGTAAGCTATAGCTAATAAGAAAGCTTTTTATTACTTTAGCTTCTATTTTAGCTAAATAAACAGGCTTATTAAGACTTTTTTTATATATATAAGTAATATATCTAAACGTTCTAAGATATTTAATATATAGAGACTTATAATTAGCTATAAGATTAAGCTTATAAGCTATAATCTTATAGGAACTTAGCTTACTTTTATTAGCTTATAGAAGAAGGTTAAGGATCTAAATAGTAGAGTTAATAGTATAATCCTAAAGTTCCTCTAGAAAATTAATATTAATTAGTTAAATTTAAAATACCTTAATAATAATCCTTCTAGCTCTTTTAATAACACTATTTATAGATAAAGTATTAGTAATAGATATATTTATATAAAACTTAGAGAAGAATAAGTCTTAAAAGACCTTCTTAAACTTAGATATATTATTATAGACCTAAGTTTTAATATTAATATATATTATATTAGTAAAGATATTACTAAATATCTTAATAATATTAAGAATAACTTTATAATTATAGTTAAATAGGAGTATAACCTAATAGTAACTACTATAGTAATCTATAAAGTATAGAATATATCTCTTACTTATAATAAAAAGAAGCTTAACTTTAATAATATTAAAATAGATCTTATTACTAATATTAGTTAATAGTAATAAAAAGTTTCTACTAATAATCTTAGTAAATTTAATAAAATAATAAGCTTTATAATAGAAATCCCTAATCTCTTAAGTTATAAATATAATATTAATATAGTAGTATACTTTAATTACTTAATTAAAATAAATATATAGAAAATAGTAATATATAAGCTTAAGAGATAGTAGCTACTTATAGTAAACTATAATAAAGCTAATAGTAATATTAAGAAAAATATCCTTTTAATATTAAATAATAGGAATAATATAGATATTTAATTACTAATTAACTTTAATAAACAAAATACTTAATAAAACCTATACTATAGCTAAAATATAGTAGTTATATTTAATACTAATATTATATAACTTTCCTAAGCTAAGAAGGTTAGCTAGACTTAAAAAGCTATACTTAATATTATTAATAGTTTAATTAACTATCTTAGTTAAGTTCTATAGATTAATAGTTTAGAAGTAGACTATACTAATACCTTTAAATTAAGTATACTCTTTATTAATACCCTTATATAGAAGTAAGTTAGCCTTAGCTTTATATATAATAAAGTAGCTATACTTATTAAAAATAAAGTTAGAATAGCTAAAGTTAAGGATAATATCTAAATAGAGAATCTTCTAGTTAATAATAGTAGTAAATACTATCTTATTAATAATATTATAAATAAATTACTTAGTAATATCTATTAGTTTTCTAATAGTAATACTAATTAATAAAGATTAACTAAGAATACTTAGCGAGGTATAGATATAAATAGACTTATTTTTAAATATATCTTACTTATATTTAGCGTTATAGATATACTTCTTAGCTTTTATTAAGATCACTTTATAGTTAGCTTAATTATTTAGGATAAGTTTAAGATAAATAGTTATATACTACTAAGTAGTATAAATATATCTATAGTAATTATATTTAGTACTAAACTTATTAGTTAATAATATAGTAGATACTTTCTTATTATTAATACTCTATTAGCTAATATTAATAGTTTTTTTAAAAATAGTAATATTAATTTTCTACTCTTTATTTTATATAAAAATAAATAAGGTTTAAATAATATTATTCTATATAGGTATTTTATTATTAGTAGTATAAAACTTATAAGTATCTAGAAATTTAATCTTAAAGTAGTTAAGAAGGATAATAAACTAATAGTAGTTAGAGTAAGTATTAATAAAGTTTATAATATATCCCTTAAAATATTAAATATATCTAAGTATATTATAGAGTATCTTATAATCCTCTATAATACCTTTATTAAACTTATTAATAAGTATACTAATAATATCTTTAGAGACTTTTAAGATATATTTCTTTAGAGCTTCTATTAATTAATATAAGTTACTATTATCTTTTTAGCTAATATTAAAAAGCTTATTAATAAAACTCTTAGCTACTATAATAAGAATATTATAAGTAATATCTTAATTAGCTATCTAAGCCTCCTTCTTATTATTTACCTTAAGCTTAGTAATATCCTCTATAATATACTTATTAACTTAGGTAGCTTAAAGTATAGCGTTAATAGAAACCTTCTAAGTTATTTAG